TTGTCCCTGTTGAACTTCATTTTGTTAGTTTTGGCTCATCTCTCTAATCTGTTAAGTTAGTTTTGAATTCTGCTCCTGTCTTCTGGAGTATTGACTATCCCTCCCAATTTGGTGTCGTCTGCAAACTTGATGATCATGCCTTCTAATCCTCTTTCATATCTCTTAATGTCTCCAACTATGTTATTGGCATACAATATAGATTCAGCTAATCTGTTTTAGTGTGTCTCATCAACTTCATCTTGAGAAAGCTGACATTTCCCCATGGCCTGTAGGTTTGCTGAGCTCCGTCATTTGTGTTATGCTAGAAATGTTGTCACTTCGCAATTATGTATATGCTCAGGATTAACAGCCAGAAGTGATGGGTACATAGTGTCAGACCCTGAGAACGTCCACTTAAACAACAAACAATCTCAGGATACATTCTGTGCTGGTCACATAGACCTCAGATAAGGATTACCACATATGTATTAGATATTGCTTGTGTGCACTTTGTCATTGTCTTTGTAATATAAAATACTGATGCTTCAAACAAACTTTATCATGTTCAGTGCTCTGAATAGGTTGGATTAAAAGCACTGTGACTTGGTATAGTCTTTATCCAACATTATTGTTTCTTGTCTGTTTGCCTTTCTGCTCAGTTTCAAGACTCATCTGTACTTCATTTCTCATTTGAGAGACGATACAGCTACTATTTCAGATCTTACTCAATAGTGTTAACTTTGGAGAATACTTTCCAGATCCTGTTGAATTTAGGGAAGTTAGACTTTGCACTCTTTCTACTTTCTTTTCACTGACATGTCAAACATGTTTTTAATGGCACATGCTTCAATCTGGTTTTAATTTTTTGATTGTTCAATCGCATTTTACCTCTTGTACCTTGTGGATTTTTAACAACAGTTTTTTAATTAGTTGTAAGCAGCTTTGAGCCCATAACTGGAAAAAAGATGGGATAGAATCATTTTTGTTATTATTATTACTATTATTACTATTATTATTATTAATTATTATATCCCATCTTTTCCCCCAGTTAAATACAAGGATTTAAAGATTGAACTGCAAAGCTTCTGGCACAAGCCAGTGAAGGTGGTCTCAGTGGTGATCGGCACAGTAGGTGCAGTGCCTAAAGACCTTGGCCTGCACTTGAAAACAATCGGCACTTACAAAATTACCATCTGTCAGCTGCAAAAGGCCACCCTACTCAGATCTGCACACATTATTCGCTGATACATCACATAGTCCTAGACACTTGGGAAGTGTCTGACATATGATCCAATACAAAAGCCAGCATAGTGATGTTGTTTGCTGTGCACTAATCTTGTTGTGTATCTAACAATAATAACTACTACTCCTACTACTATTGTTGCTACTACCCCTAATTCATACCAGCAGTAGTTTTGGAGGCCATTTTCTGTTTATTTGTATTTAAAGCCACTACTGTATAAACTGTAATTTGTATTTAAAGAACCCATTTCCCCTTGAGTTTGTGTTTTTCTTCCAGCATGCCCTCTATAATATCAAACTCCTTATTTTAGTGTTGTGGCTTTCATAGGACGTCATTTACCAAGAGCATGTTAATTATAGAATATAAGACATCCTTGTGATAAAACTCTGGTATATCAAATTATACTAGATTTCCTTCAAATTATAATGAATTATCTAAGACAAGAATGATGTACAAACAGTTCCCAGTATAATTTTCAGGAAACAGGAAAGCAGCACTTGGCACAACTGCTGCAATGTCCTTTGTTAGACTTATGCAGTATCTGAGTAACTTAGTTTGGATTTCCAGCTAAGAGGAAAACTAAAAGAAATACATTCTCAAAAAAGGTATTATGGAAAAAAGAGATTAAATAATATTATTCAAATATCTGCTAATATAACTGCAGACATGGGTCTACAATGGGAGAGAAATGACTGAGATATGAATAAAGTTTTATGTTGTGGTTATGTTTAGAGCAAAGGGTGTGTGTGTGTGTGTAACTGAGAGTTCCTGAATTCAGTAAAGTGAGGTAGAATCCCGAGAAGCTGGGTGCCACTTTGACTGGGTGGCCCCTGGATCTATGAACTGGGCGGGTTTCATGTTCTGGTTGGGTGGCCTCTAGATCCCTGAGCCAGGAAGGCTGTGTTCTGCTGGATTCAGTTTATAATCAAGAGCACAACTTCTTGAACCATGAATCTCAATCCCAAATGGGGTTAGTGTTGGGGTCCTGAAATATTTGGCAGCAGTAAAAGTTTTCTGAACATCACTTAATGGCTATTCCAGGTATTATTTACATCACTTAGTGGCTATTTCAGATATTATTTGCAATGTTTCCAGTGGTCTCTGCAGAAGATGTTCCAGCTGTACTTCATAAAAAGGAAAATCTGCTTGTTTAGCAAGCTTTGCAAATACTGTTTTCTTATCAGTAAATGTTTGATTTTTATACCTGTTTCATATGCAAATATATCCATGATCACATAAAAATGTTTTGGGCCAAAAGGTGTCATGAGTGGAAACATTTAAGAAGTCCTTTGCACTACTTTTTATGTGCCAGTATACTACACTTAGAATAGCATGTTTTCCTCTGTATTTGGAACATGGTACTTAAATGGGAGATAGGAGAGAAAACTTAAAGCTGACACTAGGCAGTTATCTGCCTGAACTCTTGAGAGTTGTTGCCATTCAGACTGGAACATAATCAACTAGATGGACAAATTGAATATGGAAGCTTCCTATGTGACTGGAAGCCAAAGGATACAAGGAGTGCCTTTTGCTAATTTCAGTAGACCCACATATTACAGGACGGACTGATTGTAGGATCTTTTGCGTAATACATTTTTGCATCAGTGTTTCTCAACCTTCCTAATGCCGTGACTCCTTAATAGAGTTCCTCATGTTGTGGTGACCCATAATCATAAATTTATTTCTATTGCTACTTCATAATCAAATTTGGCACAAATATCCGCTACACCCAAATTTGAATACTGGTGGGGTTGGGGGATTGATTTTGTCATTTGGGAGTTGTAGTTTCTGGGATTTATAGTTCACCTACAATCAAAGAGCATTCTGAACTCCATCAACGATGGAATTGAACCATGGGGGCCCACAGAACCCCCATGACCCACAGAAAATACTGAAAGGGTTTGGTGGGCATTGACCTTGAATTTTGGAGTTGTAGTTCACCTACATCCAGAGAGCACTGTAAATTCAAACAATGATGGGTCTGGACCAAACTTGGCATGAATACCCAATATGTCCAAATGTGAACACTAGTGGAGTTAGGGGGAAATAGATCTTGACATTTGGGGTTGTTGCTGGGATTTATAGTTCACCTACAATCAAAGAGTATTCCGAACCCCACCAGTGATATAATTGGGCCAAACTTCCCACATAGAACCCCCATGACCAACAGAAAATACTGTGTTTTCCGATGGTCTTTGGTGACCTCCCTGACCACACCTCATGACCCCCCAGGGGTCCAGACCTCCAGGTTGAGAAACACTGCTTTAGATAAATGATGTCTTCAGCTTCCTGCTGGAGCATACCATAGAATTACTCTGAAGGACCTGAAAAAAATACCTAGGGAAATGTTTTCTAAATTTCCTGCAGAGGACAACCTGTGGTAGTGGAAGTGTAATGGAAGTTGACCATAGAAACACATTGGAGGCTCACAGAGAACATTTTCCCAGGGATTTCCTAGGTCCTCCAGAGTGATTTCATGGTATTCAAAGCTCTTTGCATTATAACCATGTTAAACGAGCTTATGTCACAAGCTGGTTTACTGTATTAAGCAGCTATGGCTGATTTTGGATAGGGATAATACAGCCATGTGACTCATGCATTGGTCACAACTACAAATTTAATTCATCAGGGATTTCATGTAGGGCTTCCCACAAGGGACTAATTGGGCACAAAATCACACTATTCTTTCATTTGTTAACTATCAATTTCAAAGCATAGAACATGTGTAGTTTGTTTTTTATCATTTCTAAATAAGAACAGCATAATCTAGCTTTTGATTGGCATTCCTCTTTGAATTATGCTACTTTAGTCTCTAAAGGAAATGGACAGAAAGGAATTGTTGATATGTTATAAATAAGGCACTGTTGAGGCATTGCTGTTCCTCAGGGCAATTTAATTTCCAAAGAGCTGCATTCATAATTATATTTACGCACTTTTTATTTAAAAGAAAAAACACACACAGCTAGAACTTTAAACGATATGGGTTGCTGCTCAGGCAATATGGAAGTGATCCAGAGAGAAGGGTAACTTTTAAAAGTCTAAACATGACATTATCAGAAGTATGCTGTGTTGCCAAAACCCACTGGCTCTGTTATAAACTAAGAAGTATATAGACAGATTCAGCAAACGTGAAATATGTGGGAAAAATACAGCTGCATAGAGATATTTTTGGTGCGGATGGCTATGTGTCCACAATTAATTAGCACTATTCTGTTGACTACTGAAAAAGGCAGCTTGGAAAAACACTGTTAATTTTACAATACTGAGTCATGCTTAACTGCATAACATGAATAGTTTTTGTATCATTCCTGAAAATATGGTGAACAGGCAATTCTATGTGTGTTGTTGGATTACAGATCCCATTAGCACATCCCATATAGGTAGTGATGGGGGTAGTGTTGGGGGATTGCTGTCCTATAACATCTGGAGGGCACACATTCCTTATCTCTGCTCTGTTTATTTTCTGAAGAGCTACAATGTAATCTGAAAAGTTGATTTAACCTGCTAACCGTAGACAATTATATTTAATGCTTCTTTTAGCCAACTGTGCTAGCTGCTGTGAAGAATACACAAATGGCTGTTCCTCTTTACAGTAAACAACTACAATGCTGTGTAAAGCAGTTGCAACACTTTATAGGCTCAAAGCTAAGACTCACTTAACATTCATTATCTACCTGTCTATGCTATATGTTCATTTAATTCTTTTCTTTTTGGAAATTGTTGGAAACATAATGGAATTTCTCTTTCTCTTTATTTTTTGTTTTGCTTTGTTTTTCAGAGTAAGGAAATTGGTCTTCAGATGCATGAAGAGCTCCTGAAGGTTACCAATGAACTCTATACTGTGAGTAATGCGTTTCTTGTGCTTGGAATATAATGTTCTGGAATAAATCCACATCGTTTAGAAAACTTATTGAATACACATTTTCCAAGCTCAAACAATTGTCTTAGTCTCATGATGCAAAATTAGTGTAATCCTTTTTGAAAATGTCTGGATTTATTTAATTTCATGGAAAATGAGGATACAATTTATGACACATTTGAGTTCAGATTCTTAGGAAATGTCCTCCCACACCATCCCAATCACAATCTGTATGTGTTTTCTGTTTTGATATGTTGTATGGATCACTTCATAAGTAGTGCTAAACAATGGTTTGGCTAGATCTGTCTTGTTCTCTGCATTGACTGCAATCTTACATTGTAATCATAAAAATAATAATAACTTTATTTTTATACACCACCTTCACCTCCCCAAAAGGACTTGGGCGGCTTACACATGGGACAAAATGTCCACAGAACATTAAAACAAAAAACACGATTAAAATAAAACATAGCAAAGCATAACTTTGTATTACTCACTTAAACCACAGTTTACTAGTTGGTTAGAAAAAAACAGAACAATTGCAGAGGAGAGCCTGAAACAAGGGAAGGAATATTTGAGCACTAGATCTCCATTTTTCCCTTTTGGGGAAGAAGAAAGAAACAGTAGTACCACTGCATAGAGAAGATGCTAAAATGCTAACAGGGGACAGAGGGAAAGCAGGACTGTTTAACTCCTACTTTACCTCAGTTTCCCCTCAGAAAAGATGTACTGCTCTACCTGGTACATATAAAGAAAATGATGCAGTAAAGAGACTGCATCTTCGAATGGGTGAAGAAGTATTGCAGGAATACATGTATTCTGCACTGGAGAGGACTCGTCTGAGGTACTGCATTCAGTTCTGGGCACCACACTATAGGAACAGACAAAATAGAGCCGATTTTCAGAAGGGCAATAAGGATGCTAGGGACTATGGAGAACAAGATATGAGGAAAGTTTGAAGGAGCTGGATATCTTGTGCTTGATGCAAAGATGGGGGAATGATGGCCCTCTTTAAATACTTCAAGGGCTTCAGCAAGAGGAAATGCTGTTTTGTTGTGTGCTACCGCAGGATAGGACTAAGGACTCCATCAAATAGGGAAAATGGGGGAAAGCAAAGGAAATTGTATTCTTGTGTGTAGAATTGTCGTCTTTGTGTGGGATTCTGTCTTTAAAGAAGATGGAGAATTTACTTACCCCCATCACACAAGATTACCTCCTGCTGCCTCAACCATCCACTTAGATGGGACCCAAGGCACCATTCTTAAGACAGACACCACTTCTGGGATACTTTACTTTTCCCCACAATCCCATTACTCTACAGGAGACCGAAGGCACTGTACTTAAGAATGGGCAGTTCTCCACGTTACTGAAACAATTCAACATGGGCAAATCTGACAGATCCCATCCCACATGTTTTTAAGCACTTTCTCCTGTTTCTAGGTACATCACGAGTCCAGAAGGCAATTCTTCCCCAGCTTCAGTTCCTCCACTTTCTCCACACTTCTGACACATGGAAGTCTGTCTGTGTCATATGATGGGTACTTTGTCTATGAACTGTTTTAGAAGTGTGTGGAAACGGGGGGCGGGGCATTCATATGTTGAACTCCTAAGTCTAATGGAGGATAACTTTTAACTGAACATAAGAATGAGCTTCTTGACAGTGGGAGTTGTTTGACAATGGAGGAAATGGCCCAGAGAATGATGGGTCCTCTTTATGGACATTTTCAAAAAGATTGCTGGGAATGCTTTTGCTGGAGATCCTGCATACAGCAGTGGGTTAGACTTGATGGTTTATGCAGACTCTTCCAGCCGTATGATTCGGTGATTCTACATAGTTGACAATAAATATATATTTCAAAATATGCAAGTCCTCACTGTACATATTTAAACAATTATCTATTATTGCATCTATTTGAGAAATGCCCACACAAACATTTTCCATTATAAAAAACCAAACTCCATGCAGAACTTTCATGGAACAGAATGTGGGTGCATCTCCATTGTAAAATTAATGACACCATTTTAACTGCCTTGATTTAATACTATGGGAGATATAGTCTGGCAGACATCAGCACTATTTGGCAAAGACAAAATATTGTAAAACTACAACTCCCAGGATTGAGTCGTGGAAGCTACAGTGCACACAAACTGTATTAATTCTATAGTGAAGATGTACCTGACAGGTCAAAAAAGGACTTCAGAAAAGATTTGGCAGATATAACCAGTTCTTCCACATCACCCTCCAGAGCTTATTGAATTGAAGCTGTTGTTGGGCTCTTTGGGGTATGGACAAGGATAGCTGCACTCATTTAGCAGCTAGGCGTTTCTATCCATGTTGTAGACAGAATTTACATTCCTATGATAGACTGTTTTGTCCTGACATTGTGATCGTGAGAAATTTGTGGAGCTAAGGAGTTATCATGTCACAAAAGTAATGTTTCTCATAACATTGTTGTGGGGCAGTGTATTTTGTACATTTTTCAGCAGAAGGAGGACTAGATTAAATTTTAGATTGCAGTCTGGCCATTATAAACATCATAAAAGAAACCAGTGCAACTAGCTGAGAGCAGAGCAAAGGTATTTTTCAATTTGATTATAAACCTTTATAGGTATTTCTGGGGTATGCTTTTCATTTTTGAAAATATATTTTTTTTCTTGCTGCGATCATCATTTCTCAGGAAATTAAGAAAAGCTTGATTCTTACTAGAGCAACATGTTTTCATTAAATTCAAATTTCAAAATGTCACCTGCAAATTAACTTACAGGGTTTTCTTTAAAAAAAAAAGTTCTTGCAGATCTGTAGAAAGAGATGGTGGGTTGATAGCAAGAAAAATCCTGCATTGCAGTTCACATTAGTTCATAACTGAATGTGGTGGAAGAAGATAGAACACTGAAAAATGCTGAGTTTGATCACAGTCCCCTCATGTTTATTCAACAAATACAAAGATCCTGTTAGATCGAGTATTTTCCCCCCAGCATCAGTTCAACAAGAGTTCTAGTGACTGTTCTTTGTGTATATTTTTCTAAACAACAAAAACATATTTTTAAATCCAAGGCAAGAGGGAGGTAGGAATGTGATATGGTTGTCAAATTACTTGAAAATTTATCTAGGTTTTGCCCTTTTCTTGAGGAATGGTGCGAGCTCTGATACCTGGAAGGATATTAGAGGTTATTGGTTGCTCTTCTCCAAGGTGAGCCCTCTAGATGTTGTTGGGGTGCGACTCTCATTAGCCCTTAACACTGATGAGAAAGGCTAGGAATTACAACATCTGGAAGGCTGCATAATTTTAGTCCTTGCCCTTTACAGAAAATAAAAACACAGCATTGCCCAATGGGATAGCACCATGGATTGATATTATTTCTTTTGGATGTGAAGTCTGAAGGTAAACTTTGGGTTAAAAGGGGTAGCTAACTTGAATACACAGCCACTTCACATGCTATGCTTTTAGTATTTCTGTGCAGTTCATGTTAAGCCCATATATATATATATGTGTGTGTGTGTGTGTGTGTGTGTGTGTCTGTCTGTCTGTCTGTGTATGCTCTAAAATATGTTTGAGAACCCACATATCCACAGATTCTGCAACCATGGATTCCACCAAAAGTGAACCTTGATTTGCCATTTTGCTATATCATGGTATATCTTGGGACTAGAGCAGGGCAAACTTTTTTGCCTTTGGGATGCATTGCGGGCCAGGCCAAGAGGGAGGGGGCCCAGGCACACGCTGGGTGGGGTGGGCTTAGGAGGGAAAGGGCAGAGCTTGGTCATCCTCAGGTTGTCCTCCTGACATAAGGATGAGCTGCTCACCCCATCCTTATGCTAGGAGAAAGGCAAGACACGTGGTGACTGCCCCAATCCTCCAATCCTCTTCTCAGTCCTTGGGCTGTATTCTTGGAATTATGGTGAGAGGAGGGCAAGATAGGCAGTGGCTGAGACTGCTTTGAAGGGCGTTCAGCCACAGTGTACCTTCATCCAGCTGTTTTCATGGCATAAGGATAGGAGAACACGGGCTCTCAGCTGCTTTGTGCCTTCCTCCCTTGTCTTTTTGGCATAAGGATGTGGCAGGCCACCATGTCCTTATGCCAAAAGGACAAGGAAAATTAGGAGGGCCTGAGGTAATCACCCAGGGGGGCACATCTAGCCCCCAGGCCTTAGTTTGCCCATAACTAGACTAGAGCATTGGAGGATTTTGATGTTCACAGCACCTGTGTCCTGGAACCAAAGCTAAGCGAATAACAAGGGGCCACTGTACTTGGCAAAGGAGTCATTTGAAAAAAAAAATTCCTGACATAAAACACAGTGCCCAGAATCTGGCTGAAAAGATTGGTTGTGGAGAATATCTGGTAAAAGTGCCATAAAAACCTATTTATTTTTGTGCAGTATGCAGGATACCTAGATAAAATTTTATTTAATATGCATTGCCTGGAGTGCTCTGCAATAAATAGATATTCATTTTATTTATTGCAAAGTACATTCAGTAATGCATACTAATGAGACAAAAAGCAGCACATTTGATTGCAATGCCTTGTAAGAATAAGTATTGGGGTGCTTTTAAATCTGCACGCTAAACCTCAGGGTATATAATAGCTGTGTAGGCAAGGGGGAACCAGTATGTATACATATTTGCAAAGGAGTACAAGAACAGTATAGAGAAAAGGACAAATCTAGTGATTAATTCTAAAACAAAAAAATTGGGGGGAAAGGAAATGAAAAAGTACGACTGGACAGCAAAGGCCAGCTAAATCACATTCAGCTGAAGTCCTTTGGGACTCTGATTGGATTGTAGTTGACAGTTGAGGAGAAAGTTACATAACAAGGTATGCTCTAGGCCAGAGATGTCTCTCTCCATATTTTTATCTGAGGAGAGAGTTACTGGCCTCTCGAAAAATAGCCACAGCCATTGACTTCCAAAATTATCAAACACTTTTCTGTGCATCTGCCTTGAAATGAATATTCTGTGTGTGCATTGAAATGCCATGGTAATCCCTACAAATTTGTGTTTCATTTACCTATTCCTTTGGAGATTTAGAGCTTGTTTCTCGATGACTCAGGATGTATTTGAAGTCTGGAATACATGCATGAAGATGTATTGGATGGAATAGGAGTGTCCTTGACATCAAATCAATGTTCCTTAAGCAAAGTTTACTGCCTTATGTACTGTCTGTATGTTTAGGATAGGGAAAGTGGGGATGGGGGGTTGTTACTGATGTATTTATTCAGTAGACTGACGGCAGCCAACAGCACAAAGTGAATCATGTTGGGAATAATAATTGGGAATGATAAAAGTTGAGGTGTCTTTAAAAAAGAAAGGGAAAAAATACATTATGATCATACCAGACAGCACACTATTACAAGGAGTGTTTTTAAAAGTTCTGCTGTAAGTTCTACTGAAAGGCAACTAAGGATGAGGTTTCTTAGGGCCCTTCCAGACAGGCCCTATATCCCAGGATCTGACCTGATTCCAGGTTTTCTGCTTTAAATTACATTATATGCGTCCCCACTGCTAAATAATTTGGGATAAACAGAAAACCTGGGATCAGATCTAGGGATATAGGGGCTGCCTGGAAGGGCCCCATATCTTTCTGTTATTACTACAGAACCCTGTGCCCCTCCTGCCATAGGTTTGAGAGCTCCAGGGCACAGAAGGTAACCTAAGAAGCCACATTTACTCATGTACCTAAGGAGGCCATTCTTGAGATATGGTGAATGTGGATGATTCAGATTTTGAGGTGAAAAAAAACCCCCAAAACCCACAAAAGAAAGATATTCAATGCAGCATGTAACTATTGTAGAAACAGTTTCAGAAACTATTATACTCAAATTCTTTGAATTGAGTCTGGCTGGGAGCCCGGTGAAGATGACGTCATGTTGGAGATGTATGCTCCAACCTTCAAGTCTCAGTTAACACCCTGCCAGTTGCTTTTTAAAACCAAATGAAGCTTCCTGTCTTCAAAGGCAGTCCCATGTGGAGATTATTACAGGCATTTAATCTGGATATGACTAAAGCAAGAGCCATTTTATCCAGATTTGACATCTCCAGGAAAGATCTTTAATTGTCAGTCCCTCGTGATTGTGGTTTTTACATATGTGGGTGAAAGAACAACCCCATTTGGAGATGGCTGTGTATCTACTCTCAGATCACCAGAATGGCAAAGGGTTCAGCTTTGATCTTTTCTCCTTCCCATTTCAGAACAATGCAATGTTTCCCATCAGAAGTTCATGTGGATACATTTTGGTCTGACCAACATTTTATAAAGTAACTTACAAATCTAGTGTTCAAATTCCAAAATTAGACTGTCACTTAATTTTGCTTTAATTTAATCACTCTTGACCTGGATTAACCTTAACAGGCTATTTAAGCCTAAATAAGAGCTGTCTCACTACCTCATCCCAATTTGTTATCATTTCAATTCCTTTTTTTAAAGCACTAAAGTATATCTGGTTGATTGGTTTAGAACCCTGATAGATTACTTTCCTACTGAAGTTTGGATCACATTCTAATTGGAGGACAGAATCTAGGCAGCTTCCTATGATAGCTGTGCATTCAAGTTAGCTACCTCTTTTGAGCCAGTAGTGTTTAGCAATCATTGGAAGCCTTTGAATTTTCCTTGCACGACAAAGATCAAAGAATGATGGGGTTTCTTAGAAAGCTGTTGCTATTCCCAACTAGATAAAGAAAATCATCTTACTTTTACTCTCTGTTAATCTTGCAGTATCTGTGAGGAAGGTGTGATGAGCTGTTGGGTTTAAATATGCCATAAGGGCCTTGTATAATTCTTTTTAGACTCCTGATAGCATGACTTGTTCTTCTGATAAACAGAATATATGTCCAATGCTGTTGCAACGGAGAGCTGCTTTTTTATTTATTTATTATTTCTGGGCTATTTTTCTAAAATCCAATATAAAGCTGGGTTACTATAAGTTTTCCGGGCTGTATGGCCATGTTACAGAAGCGTTATCTCCTGATGTTTCACCCACATCTAGGGCAGGCATCCTCAGAGGTTTGGGGGGGGGGTGTCTTTTGGAAACTAAGAAAGGTTTATATATCTGTGGAATGTCAGGGTGGGGGAAAGAACTCTCGTCTGCTAGAGGTACATGTGAATGTTGCAATAAAAAAAATAAAGTTGTTATTTCCCAAGGGGCAATTTTCCTTGAAATCATGGTAGAGGTAGGAAAGATTTAAGTTGTCCTTTACTACCTCCCATTTTTTTAATATTTCTTAAAATGTAGATATGTGATATCTAGAGTTGCTTTTCAGTTGGGTTTTGGAATCCGGAATGGCATTGCAGGTAGTTGCATTTGTGTGTAGATGTGTGTGGTATAATCTCGTTTCATTGGGTTGGCAAATATATAGTGCTTGCGATGCTTACATGAACAGCATACATTCTAGAAAGTGTTGTTACTATTGTATTTATTTATTTATGCCCTGTTTTATCACTCCCACAGGAGACTCTGAAATGAATTTCCCTTCTTTTCCTCTGCTTAGTGATGATGTCATAAACACCATCAAAACTAGACTAGAATTTCAATCAGTCATATTTCCCTGTAAACATACTGGTAGCATATGCATTTGCAAATGCACAACTGTTGTACTATTTTGGAAAATTTATTGCGTTTATAGCAGTAGTTCCTAAACTTCCCAAAATGCTGTTGGAATAGAAGCTCCAACAAGCATAACATAAGCAATTATACACATTTTCAAGTATTCTGGGAGTTGTATCCCAACAACAGCCTGTGATTTCAAGCTTGGGAACCACTGGTGTAAAGCACACTTTTTGAAATAAAATGTGTGTGGGAAGTTGTCTTAGTTAGATTCTCTTCAAGTCAGTCTCTGAACCTCAGTTCTTCTCCTGTGAAATTGTAATGATGAGCATCACAGGATTCTCATGAGGACAAAACACAGGCAGAAATGCCCTGACAGTTAAAAGAGAAATGTGTAATTGATTAGTTGAGGCACACTTGTTCATTTACAGCCAGTGAAGTGTTTTATTGTTTTGTTGCAACGTCAATGGTGGGTGGATTTTGCATGCTGACTTGCTGAATTTCCTTGCCTCTAGGTGATGAAAACATATCACATGTATCACGCTGAGAGCATCAGTGCTGAAAGTAAACTGAAGGAAGCAGAAAAGCAAGAGGAGAAGCAATTCAATAAAGGAGGGGACATCAGTGTGAACCTCTTGCGACATGAAGATAGACCACAGCGTCGCAGCTCTGTCAAAAAGATTGAAAAGATGAAGGAAAAGGTGGGTGCTGAGAGGTTCTCCCCATGGATGGTAGTGTGGCCACTCCTAGGTCTTCAGGGAGTTGCCATTGGCAACTTGCTTTGAGTGTATGAGAATGAAAGAGAGAGTGAGTGAAGAGAGGCTACACACAGAGAAACAGCAAGCCTAGGGCTGGTAATATTTGGTCACTCATACAGCACTGGTATTTTTTTTTTGAATGAAGTTGACTGCCCAGGGCTCTGAACATTCTTGTATACATTTTCGCTGAAGCTCTATTTGGGATAGCTGAATAAAAAAGCTTCCTTCTTTTCTGCTTGTTAGCTGTGGACAAATGCCAAAAAGACAGCAGGTAGCTAGAGCTTTGAGGCAGGCAACTTCCAGTAAGAAACAGAGCCCGGGGGCACATTGTCAAGCACTTTCACAGAGGGGGTGCCTTACATCACCGGAGCCTGATGTGCTCAGCCATTTAATTGCTCAACACAAGGAGAGTTGAAAAGGGCAGCTGGAGGGAAGGAAGACCTCCAGAGAGTGATGGCTCAGAAAACAAACAAAGCAAAATAAAACAAAAGTGGGCGAGGCATCAGTGCAAACACATCAGTGAATGAAATGGACGTACTATAGTTGCTTGGGGTCATCTCCCAGATACAAGAGACAGTTCAATGGCTTAGCATCCAAGAGATTTTTCTGTCTATGGAAGGAGGTAGATTAAGCAGTAAATTGTGTGTGCATAAGCCTTCAAGTTACTTGTGGACTTCTGGTAACTTTTTAAATTCCATTGGGTTTCCTTAGGTAAGGAATACTGTAAAGTGGCTTTGTCAGTTCCAACAGCATCTGGAATTTGTTGATGAACTCCCATCCAAGAACTGTCCAAGACTGCACCTCCTTATCTTTAGGGTGCATAGTAAATTACTGCTGTGTTAATTTATAGACTCATTATAGAGTTGGAAGAGACCACAAGGGCCAAGTCAAGTCAGGTATCACCCATCCTATCTCTCTGCATTTCATTTTTTGCTGACTCAGTGCGATGCCTTACATTTCTCCGTGTTGAAGTCCATTTTGTTAGTTTTGACCCAGCTCTCTAGTCTCGTACAGTCATTTTGAACTAAAATCCTTTCTTCTGGGATATTATTTATTTATTTATTTACAACATTTATAGCCCGCCTTTCTCAACCATATGGTGACTCAAGGTGGGTTACAGATTGGCACGATTCAATGCCATGCATCCATAAAATTGCAATTAAAAACAGTCAGTATAACAATATAAAATCATATATAAAAACCATTACAACATGTTTAGCTGCCCATTGTCCAAGTCACTGACAAAGATATTGAAGAGCACTGGTCCCAGGACAGAATCCTGTGGCTCTCCATTAGTCACTTCTCTCAGAATGAAGTGGAGCCACTGCTGAGTGCCCTTGGGGCTTGGTCAATCAACCAATTGCCAGTCCATTTAACAGTGGCATTGTCTTGCTCATGTTTTATTAGTTTGTTAACAAGACTATCATGGGGGACTTTGATGCATGCTTAGGTTTCCCTTCATCTACTAAACTGGTAATCCATTTTAAAGAAAGAGATTAGTTTCATATGGCTTGTTTTTGTGAAAGCCATGTTGACTTCTAGTGATCACAGCATTTCCTTCCTGTTTAATCTATTTCTCTGAAATAGATTATACCATTGTATTGCTACATTCCAGTCATTAGTCTCATGCCATCAACTTTAAGTGAAGTCTGTGTATATCATGTTTGATTTGATGTGTTATGTGTACAAGTTCTTTTTGTTTATTCCACATGCTCTCTGCATTACTACAGAGACATATGAGACCATGAGGTATTTCCCCAAGCATCAGAGCAGATGGGGAAGCATGAAGGAGGTTATGGGCTATGTCCATTATTTGTGGAACATCTCATTGTGTGTTCACAGGATTCCTTACCGTCCATCTCCCACAATATTGTCCATAACACATTAACTTATAGAACAGTAGGAGATTAATGCATAGCTGTTTTAACTTTGTCCCCAGAGTGGGCCTGAATACTAGACTAAAAAGTAAAGTGGGTAACATTGTACAATATTTCTCCTCCATTATTGTCATTGTCATTGTCAATGAGTTTCCTGTTTTACATTGTAAAATAATCTCAAGATAGGATAGAATAGCAAGGGAGCAGTCAATCTTTACAACAATAAAAACAGGGCTGAGCATAGGCACTATTATAAGCAGTTTACAAATGGTGGTGACACAAATTCAGTACATGTAAGTTGATCTTCAGTGAGTGCTGAAAGCTTCTATTATTTGATGCCAATCATAATTGAAGGCAAAGGAAGCTTCTAAGTCAGAATGTTTGCATCTATAGCTACCTCTGTCAGGTTGCATTATATTGATTCCCTGGCAAAAGTGGCACTGTCAACAGAACAATAAGGGAGAAGACATGCCAACTAATTCCCAAATTCTAACATAGGTAGAGCTTTGGATGTCAACACAAGAATTTTGAACTTAGCTCAGTACTATATTTCTATACAGTTCAATTCCTCCAGGATTGTTTAAACCCCTTCAGAGTAGTATAATATGTTTTTGGTAGGCTATCCCACAGAAATGCTGTTTCAAGGCAGGGCCACATACATCCCCATATTCTGAAGCTAAACCATTTGACTGCCAGGATTCTATCAACTTATGAAGGAGGAAAAGACATTCTTACTTGTTCTGAAAAAGAGTGGAACAGCAACAGCACTAGTAGGAATATTACCTCTTTATACCCTTGGCTTCTTGCACTTGTTTTGCTTTTATCTTCACATATACATGAGTGGTAGGCCATGTGCGTGTTTACATGGAGAACGAAGGAGTCTTTTTAATGTGGTTAGCTCATGGGGTGGGACTCAGTTTGGAGAGCCAGTGTTTCTGGCCTTCAGCTCTTGCTGAACCTAAATATGGCTGTTGTCAAAAACAGTAACAACTAAGTTGTCATAGAAGGTTACACATAGGGTCACATACTTATTGAATTGTATAAAAAGCAGTTTTGAAAGGGTTATTCATTTAGAAAGTTACTTTTGCAGGACATCTCTACTATATCTCAAAACTTCAAGGAGCCCCTCTCCATATATTTGCCTGACTGATGACTGTGGTCTGTTTGAAGAACCCTCTTCTGTGTTCCACTAGCTGGGACAATATGCAGAGGGAGGATGTGAGAGAAAACATTGTTTCTTGTGGCCTCCTGGTTGTTGAACACCTTTTCTTCAGAAGCCCAGTTGGATTTCTGTGTTGGCTTCATTTCAGCACCCAGTTACAATATGCTTTTTATTAAATCCTTTGAGGCCCAATAGATTTTTCATCCAAATCTGCCCACATTCAAGATTTTCTTAAATGCCCTTTCTAACTTTTCAAATTGTTTAATATGCTTTTAGTTTGTTTTCACTATTTGTAAAATTCTAAATTGGTTAAATTAATTTTATATTAAGGTAGAATATAAATAAGCTATATTTCATTGTATAATACAGAACTTGAGGCCTGAATTCTATCTGTACATTTAGTTAGAGTAGACCCATTGAATCAACCGTTGGATAGTGAGTCAACACCTATGTAAATTAATGGATCTGCTTTAGTTGGGACTACTAATGGGAGGCAGGACATATTTATGGCATCCCTTCACTCCCTGACTCTGCACTAGTTAAACCTGCTTGCTGTATATTTCCTTAAAGGAAAATTATGTGTTTGCCTTGCAGTAACACCAGGGTAAATAACTGGATTTTAGATCTAGCCATTCAGCAAAGGTAGTGTTTGATCTTTCTGTCACACATGAAGGATTCTTTTGTAAAGAAGACCTTATCATTCACATTTCAAGGACATTGTGGAACTATTCCGTGTTTTTGTTTTCAAACAAGAAGAAAGCTAGAAGATAAGAATAGGAAAGTATATAAGGGCTACACATTGAAGAAGTCATCTTGAAGACTTCCTATACATTTCTGTGAGCATTATAGTACAGAAACGCCTTGTTTAAGCATCCTAGGCTGTGCTTCAACACACAAAACTTTCCATATTATGAAGATCTTATGGAGCTACCGGGCACTTTTCCATTTGGCATTTTGTACTACAATCTCACTTTTCCTGAAGTCATCTTGAATAGAGAGTTGCACACTGGATGTCTGAATATAATCCCTCAAAAATGATCTATGGAAGGCAGTGTATGTAATGTAGTAGCACGGAATGCTGGGCACTGTATCTGCAGTTCTGCATTCAAAAGTCTGACATCATTGGCTAGGCTACCTATCCGTGCTAAAATAGCTTATTCCCTGCCAACAATTTCCGGAGATTAATGCCAACCTTCTCCACAAGGCACTGACTAAGTGTGCATGATGTTTCTTGTAAATGGTAGCATGTACATTGAACATGCTTTATGTGCTGCTCACTATGTGGAGGCATATTCAGAAATAAATTGCTGCTACTCTTGCTAAATAAATCAACCACATTCCCTCATAACGGGAAATGTTTTATCTGAATGCAGCAACACCATATAAAGTTCTTCTTCACAGATTAATGGAGGATAAGACTAGCAGTGAATAGTAGTCAATGCTGATATGTAATACATCCAGAATTAGAGGCAACCTAACTGAATTAGGGATATAAATAATACATAGTAGGCCTACACCTTCCTGGGGGTTAGAGGTGCAGGACTCCCATGAAAGTGAGGAAAACTGCAAATAGAAAATGCACTATTTTTTAGTCTGAGAGAAGACCTCTCTAGGAATGTCTAGGTCCTCTATAGTGATTCTTTGAAAACCTAGGTCCTCTAGACTGAATAACACTTACCTAGACGTTCCTAAGGAAATGCTTTCCCAAGGAACTTTTTTGTTCTCCAGCACAACTCAATGGTCAATTTCCCGGAAAACCTGAAAATTACTAGAGAGAACATATTAACAAATCCACAAATAATCAAATCTGCAAGAGTTAAACCAGCAGATGGAGAGGGGTGACTGTACAATTTTCCATTGTTAATTGAAGTTTAAGGTTTAACTCACACATATTTTGTTTTCATTTCAAGATTTTTTGGAAAAAAAATGCATGAGAACTAAAAAATAATGGGTTTCCACACAAAAATGTTTTTCTTTAGAAAAATGTGTTTTGTATAACATACATTATTTTCTGTACAAAATATTGCTTTTGTATGCAACTGTTTTTCACGGAAAGGGTAAAATTCAAATATTCATGGAAAAATCAGCAAAATTTCTTGGGAAACTGCACTGATCATTGGTTCCATCCAGTCAAGATATTTTATGACATGTCATGAGATAAACATATTGGGAAGATATAACAATTGGAATGACTGATTGACAGTTGTTAAGATGTGCGTGTCATCTTGCTTTTTTTCAGAGGCAAGCGAAATACTCTGAAAATAAATTGAAGTGCACTAAAGCCAGGAATGACTATCTGCTAAACCTAGCAGCTACAAATGCAGCAGTCAGTAAATACTACATCCATGATGTCTCAGACCTAATTGATGTAAGTACTTGGGGGATTATTTTTTCTTAATGCAAGGATCCTCAAACACTTTGCAAATGGGCAACTGTTTCCTGCAACTTCCCATCGCGTGTGCTTCAATGTGTTGATTCTTGATTTATTGCATATGCATCCAACATGAAACTAGTGTTGCAAAGTGCCAAGCATCATTTTGGGAAAACTTTTCAGTATCATCTTTTTTTTGTATTTTAACATGTATTTTATAGAAATATATTTTAATATATGTGTTTTATATATTAGTGGTATTGGTATTCGTATACAGCAGCATCAAAATGGCTTTATATAAGGAATAGAGATGAGAATGTGGTGGAAAGAATCCCAGTTTCAACATGGGAGTCCAGGTATTGAGTCATAGTTGAATTGGGAGACGTGATAAATAGCCTGAGTTTGGATATTTCTATTTTTGGGCCACTATAGAATTAGAGATCACAGATTCATAAAGAGATTGCTACTTGTTTGACCTCCTATCATGCAGGAATCCATAGCTATGCCTGAGACATGGCCATCTAGCTTTTGTTTAGAAAGTTCCTGAGAAAGCAAACCCACATCCTCTAAGGTAGTTCTAAGTCATATAAGGCATTCTTACTACAAAAAAGAGCTGATGAGGAGTATTTTGTAGCAAAGACGAGAGACAAGCAGGTCTGGTTTATGGACGTAGTAAACCAGTAAGAGTACCAAGTAAGGAGAGAAGTGGTCAGAAAGGAACAGTCCATTTGGGAAAAGAAGGGAATCATGGCTTACTGTTTTGATGGGGACTAAGAGCAGAAATGTGAAGTTTTCCTGGGAACTGATAGTAGTTATTAAAGTACCTTGTAGAAGGCTGGAAAATGGCTGTCAAGGAGGTTATTATGTTTTCATATACTCCTTCAGCCCATTGACTCGAGAAATAAGGTTTCTGCTCATATATACTGAGAAATTGTCATAAAACCTAATATCTCTTTCAGTATAAGATTTTTCTTGCTTGGAGGATATAAATTTACTGTGGCTTTGTAATGGCCATATAAATGACAAGAGATCTGTGTATGAAGCTTTTGTCATGGTTTAAATGTTACTTAAGTGTATCAGGAAGTTAAGCTCGTTTAATCCTCTAAATCATATTTATTGTTTCAAGCTAGAATTAAAAAGGAAGTTTTATCTGACTTTGAAGCCCTAGAGGGATTTCAGGATATTACAGATGTTGTTTGATAGGTGCATGTGTTAATTTCTTAAGCAATGCTTTAAACTGGTTTCACTGTTAAAAGCCCACACTGTTTTGCTGTTGTTCTTCAAAGCTTTGATTATTCACAAGCTGGGAGGGGAGGGAAAAAAACCCTTGACAATGTAAACATAAAAACAGAATATGGTTCCTTCATTACTTGGGTTTCCTATATTTTCATGTGTGACACCTTTTTTTTCTTTTCTTTTATGGAATTGAGGCTCTGGTTTCCTGGAGAGCTGCTGAATGCCAGTTTTGCTCTGGCTGTTTTTATTGCTATTCCTCCTCCGTATATTTCCTTTTTGATATTTCTATTGGAGTCGGCAGATGGCTTTTCTTCCTCACTCCAGGAAATCCCTTTAGGGGACTTAACCCAAAACATCTTTGATTCAATACAACTAAATTTGCCTAATTATATATTCTGCTTGCTTGAGAAAACAAAGCATGATTAAGCATGCATGAGTTATATATGTGTGTCCTAATTTCAGATTCCCCAAGAGAAGAGCTGTTTGTTTGAACAGATTTTCATACATGCATGGTGTTCTTAAGGAGAGCCTTTGAGGGCAAAGTTCCAAGTATTATCCTATAAAGATATGCCCAAATAAAGACTTCTTCCACTTCTTATCTAGTTTAGAATAGCATTGCACCCAGTAATAAAGAATAATCCACTGAATTAGGCGGGAATCATTTACAATTCTGATTTTAACTTACACTTCCTATATTGTGTGAGTTATCATATTGTTCTATTGCTCAATACAGAATTTACTAAAGAAACATCAGTAAATGGGAAAAGGGTCCCGGGAGTAACCTGGACCCAAATCATGTAGGACGTTAAAGGTCAAAACCAACACTTTGTTCTTTGCCCAGATATTAGCCAGCATGGCAACATCTTCTGTTCAAAGGACATTTAGTATAATGACAATTTTTAACTTTGTCATTTTTTAAACATTATAACTGTATTCTCAATTCATTTCTGACATGATAAAATAAATAGATAGATAGCCCAATGTAAAGTACATTGCAGAACTAACCTTGCACACACTGGTAACCTTGAGGTTATCAGCGTGTGTACTACCACCTTTAGGTCCTCCAATTTTCGAAAGAGGTTTTTCTAGCATATCGGCCACAGCTGGTAGTAAGCACTCCTGACTGTCACATCTACCTGGGCTGACATTTGGAGAGATGGATCCAGGAGCACTCCCAGGTTGCAAACACAGTTCTTCAGGGGGAGTGTAACCCCATACAGAACTGGTTGACACATCTCTACCACCAGGTTAGGACCCTTAATGGCAAGGACCTCTGTCTTACCTGGATTCAGTTTCAATCTGTATTTTTTCATCCAACCCATTATCTCCTTCATTCAGAGAAGAAACAGTATCCTTAGCTAAGGTTTTTTTTTCATGTCAGGAGCAACTTGAGAGACTGAAAATCACTTCTGGTGTAAGAGAATTGGCTGTCTGCAAGAACGTTACCCAGGGGACGCCCAGATGTTTTGATATTTTAGCATTCTTGTGGGAGGCTTCTCTCATGTCCCCACACGGGGAGCTAGAGCTGACAGAGGGAGCTCATCCGTGCTCTCCCTGGATTCGAACCTCCGACCTCCGAACCAAACCCTTGTCCTGCCAGCACAAGGGTTTAACCCATTGTGCCACCGGAGGCTCCTCTAAGATTATTTTTGAATATAGCGACAAGACCCACTATCTGCATTACTGAAGTGGACTTAGAGAAGTTTATACCATAAGATATCAAATTTTTATCCTACAACAAGCTGACGCAGCTATACCACTGGCTCTAGAGAAGCCTTTTTGAGTAGTAGTTGGCTGTGTAGTTCTGTTTTGTATATTGCACCCTGTGGCTAAAGATCCCATAGCATTAGAGTTCTTCAGATAGAGTCAACATTTGGCAATAAAAAGAAATACACACCTCTTATGATGGAAAATTAGTCTCTCTTAATACATCCAGTGCTGTTTTTAAGGCACCGCTTTTATATTGCACTCTTTTTTGTCTTTGCTTCTTAGTGAGATGATTTTTCTAGTGCCACCGGCAATTTTGAGCACTTGGAGCACTTTCTGTCTCTATTTTTTGTATGCATATGAAACAAAGATGGGAATACAATACTGATAGTTAAGAATGACTGGGAAGAGCTGCCCTTGATCTCTTTGGCTATTGGAGACAACCTGCTTCAAATAGAACAATCCTATAGCATGGCATGTGGCAGGAGAGCATGTAATGTTGAGCTTTCTTTAAAGATTGGCATTTGGTGTACAACATGAATTGTATGTTGTCTTTGTTATACATACAGAATAAAAACCCAACAAAGGCATTCTTTTTGTTCCAGGTAGTGGGGAGGTTGCAGTCTACGACTTTTGCTTTTTTGCCTTAATGTTGGAATTGATTCAAACTGGTTTTCCAGGAGATAATCTTTCAGTCTTCTGTAGATTATATTTTTTTCTTCTTCTGGTGATTGATATCCTTACAGTAACCTAATGCACATTGCCAGCTGAGCGCGGAGTATATTCTATTTGTGTAGGAATATTAATAAAAATGACAGATTGAATTGAGCTCAAAATAAGATGGTGTGAATTGACCCTAACAATATCTGACTAAAATAATTAAATGTTTAGTTGAACTGTTTTGCAGCGTCCTATGATTTGTCTTACATGTATTTTTAGACTAAATGTATGGGCAACTCCTACATGCCCTTGAAAAAAACTTGACATTTGGTTTGTGGCTTTGAAAATTACCCAAGTCAGAAGCTCATGTGGCTGACAGAATATGTCTTGATGTGGGGAGTTTAGTCTACTCCTGGCTTGGTTGTAAAGTGATACCCTTTTAATTAGCTATTGCTAGGCCTTCTCAGATGAGGAAGTGTGTGGTTAGGACTGTTCTATCTCTATTTTAAACTGTGGTAATGAGGACTAAATGCAGTGAGAATGAAGGGTTACACCCAACAGGAAGTTCAAAAGTGTGGGATAGGGCCACAAAAGTAGATTCACCGAACTCTAAAAAGTTGGGGGGGGGGCAGTGAATCCAACATATATGGATTTTGATCAGTCTTTTTCAAGGATACTTTAGTTAAATATAACAAAAAAATAACACAATGACTTTATTGCTAATAAAATTAGGTAATGTCCATATATAACACTAATTTATAAGAAGGGAAATGTGGGAAAGAGGAGGTTGTATTCCCAAACTTTCCAAAACAAAAATGCCTTTTCCAAAAATCCCTGGGCATTGCCGGGTTCCTAAGCTAGTACATATATATTTGTATATGTTATCAGGAATGTATACATGTCCAAAAATAAATTGTACATCTATCCACAAATTATTTTGGTCCCATGCACTTGAAAATGTGTAAGCACCTATCAGACTTGCATGGCTGCTTTGACTTATTTGCTCCCTATTCAAACTGGCATCTACATGTCTCTTGTTGGGTGGCTCATCTACAGTTCGGTTTCACAGCAGGTGTAGTGATAGCAACTTTAGTTTGAGGATGTCAGGTATGTCCTTATTGTCTTAATTGTATGGGATGCAATTGTTCCTTCTCAACATTTTTGAAATTTGTGAGTGCACAGTGTCAAGAGGCAGAAGCAGCCTACATCACCATTCTTTTAATAACATACTTAGGACTTCATCCCATGAAGGTCCCTCCCCCCCCCTCCGGTTTCTACACACTTCCAAAATAGTTCATCAATGAAGTACCACAAAACCCATCATATGATGTAGACAAACTTCCAACTGTCATACATGGTGTTTTGTCAGTGAACTGGGTCAGAAGCGTGGAGAAGTAGGGGGAACTAGAGCCAGGGAAAAATCATTTTCTTAGCTCCTGATGCACCTGGAAATTGGAGAACACAGTTAAAAACTTATGGAATGGGACCTGTCAGATTCACCCATGTTGAATTGTTTCAATGACGTGGAGGAATAGGTGTTCTTAAGAAAATGTCTTGAGTCTCCTTTAGAGTAACAGGGTCGTGAAGGAAAGTCAAGGAGTCCAGAAATGGTCTCTCTCTTAAGAACGGTATCTAAGTGGATGGTTGAGGTGAGAGGGGTCATCCTGTGTGATGGGGGTAAGTAAATTCTTCATCTTTTAAAAAGATGGAATCGCACACAAAGAAGACTATTTACCACACTTTCTCCTGTTTACCCTGCCTGAGCCCAGGAAGTGCGGAATGGCTTTGGGGACATGATCTTGGATCGCACATACTGATCTGAGGTGGCAGTCCCCACTGCCAAGACACTGACAAAGAAAGGCTTGGATTTTTATGGAAGATTTTGGAGCTTTGCCGATGTGTTTTAACCCATGGTCAAATTGGATTAATCGGCTGAAATGCATTAGCCAGTGTGGATGCACTAGGCTACTGCGAGTCCTACACTGAATTAAAGGGCAGTGTAAATGCAGCCTCTTTCTCCTTAGAAGAAAGATTGTGAAAATTCAGTGCATCTGGGGAAAGTCAAAGATTCTCAGACTGTCTATTCCCCCTTTCTGTTCTTTAACTAGTTTTTAAGCCACAATAACATTTCTTATCTTATCTCATAATTGCTGAATTTGTTCAGGAGTTTTTAGCAATGGATTATGTGAAATGACTTTTGAAACACTGAGTATACTACGTCTTTTGGATCACTTCTACCCACATAATTTTGACATTCTCGGGAAGCTGGAAAGAGCTAGTGAGACAGGCTTTACTTTTGTGGAGTGCATGTTAATTTGTTTTCAGCAGGTTTGCCCTTCTTTATACGCAACAGTTGTATCTTTAATAATGGGTTTCACCCGTTTACCCAGAACAGTCTTAGATTTACTGGCCTGTAATTTCCCTGATTTCCCCAGGGTCTGTTTTTTTCCAACGGTGTTGCACGGGCATCTCTCCAGTACTGTGTTGCAGACATGCTTATGTAACATGTATTTTTAGAAAATCAGCAATTTACATTTAAATTATTGGATGGATAGCATCTGGATTAGATGTTCATGTTTTTAATGTATTGGTAAGAGCAAGAATGTCTACTTTTATCACCATTATTAGAGACTTCTAAAAAAAACAATTTCAGGCACAGGTAGCTGTTCAGTATCTTCTGCAATGCAGACAAATGAAAATAATTTAAAGAGCCAAAATGCAGCAACTTTCTGTTGCTCAAATGCTCAATACCCTGCAGTGGCTCTACAGGCAACATCCCAAATCCTATAAAATACTTTAAGGTCTTAACAGTGCTCCTTTCCTCTTTTCAGTTTCTTATTGTAATCTTTTACGTTTGTGCATAACATGTTATGCTTTATTCAGAATTAGCATAGCAAAGCCTTATAATGACAGTTCCCAGATGGATGCTTTATATGTATGAAAGTCCCATTCCTTGAACATTTTCCAGACATCTGACATGTGCAGCCTCCTCGTCTTTGACTGGGATGTGGACAAAGGATGGATTGAAATTCTCAGGTTTAGGAAGATTGTGTCTGTTTACAACTAAAATTACAATTGAACCACTGGATTATGTTGGATATTTTAAAAAGAAATCCTTTGTTTGCATTTGATAGGCCAGACCTTTTGGGATAGAAGTGGTTCGGTGTCATGAAGGCTAATTTAGGGTTCAATTCAGATTATACAAAATGTGTAGATTGTACTGATTTCTCTAGTCAATTATAGTTGATTATTGTTGTTTCTTGTTTGCCTTTGCATTCTTCTAAAAGAGGTGTGCAGTTATATACTGTTTCCCATTATACGAAGGAAGAGGAACTAATTTCTTTTTTGATATGACTTAAATCTGAATTGAGGGATGTCTCTTCAAATAATCCATGAAGATGAGATGTCTTCTTTGGTCAGAGTTGCTCATGGCAGTAACAGAGTTTTAATATTTCACTTTGAGTTAGGAGTAAGGCGGAAAATCCTGCTGTAAAATCCTTCTGTGAACATGACTTAAAATAGTAAGAGACCAGAGAACAATCAAAAGCATGGGATTTAAAACATTCAGTTTTGTATCTGGAAAACAGGAGTGTTGTTTTCATCTGCTCCTTTTTGCCTGTCTAATTTCATTTATTTCATGCAAGACCACTTATTTACATTGGGTGGTTTTGCGTCATTGAAGCATTTGGACTAAGTTAGTCACTACATTAACCAATAGGAAGAGAGTTGCAACATTTTTGTTTTGTACAGGCCTCACTTGAATGGCACAAAGTACACAAGTCTGCAGCCAAGATATTTGTTGCCATATAACAAGGGAACCTTCCATATTGAAAAGAAGTTTGGGAAGGCTGTAATTAGCTAGTAGAAAATTATATATGTACACGTGTACAGAAATTAGGTTTCTGTATCAGCAGTTAAAACTCACATTTTTCTCAAAGGTGAATGAAAAACATCTTATGCATGACAAGCTGCTTCATCATGGAGAACACAGTAGAAATTGACAGGACCATTTTCCATACTATAAGAATCTTGCTAAGCAGTAGGAATTTCACATAGCTGTGTTTGATTATATTGATGCACATGACAAAAAAGAAAGATACTTTCTTCTGGCTGTCTCCTCATTTAGGGGAATTAACTTCTGGGGGAACTGGTTGGGGGGAACTAACTTCTGATCCAATTGTCAGTGGTTGTGATGTTGGAATATTAGGTCATCAGGATTTATTCTAATAAGGCAGTGGCTTTCAAAGATGTGCCCAGAAGTGTTTGCAAGACATCATCAGCTTCATATCTACTATCAGTCTGTTGCTTTTTGTGTTCTGTGTAGTCATATTTAAATTGTTGGCCTGGGAGCAAGGCCTGTGCCTTTTATTTCTGCACAGCTTCTGGTACATAAACACTTTATCAATATCAATCTCTCTCTCCCCTCACCATCCATCCCTCCAACATGTACTAGAAAGAAAACAATGATCGGAAGAAAGAGCTTACTCTAATAGTAGAGGTATACAGATTCCTTCAGTTGATTGATATTTCAGATTTATTCTGGTGAAAATGCTATTTTTCAGCTATCGAGGATTACCATAGTTAATAGGTGCTGTTATTTAGGCTCATGTCTATTTCTTCCTCTTTCATAGTGCTGTGACCTGGGTTTCCATGCCAGCCTGGCACGGACATTCAGAACATACCTTTCTGCTGAATACAATCTAGAAACCTCACGCCATGAGGGACTGGACATCATTGAGAATGCTGTGGACAACCTGGATGCACGAAGTGACAAACACACAGTCATGGATATGTGTAACCAGGTCTTCTGTCCTCCGCTGAAGTTTGAATACCAGCCTCACATGGGGGATGAGGTATGTAATGGTTTCATTTGTTCCTTAATGCTCAATGTTCGTGGTGTTGTTTCAGACATAATACTTTCCCTACTTAAAAATGATTCAGGTACTTTTAGAGGCACTATGTTTTATATGTAATTGTACAATTGTTGTATTTGGCTTATATTTGGATACAATTACTTCTGCTCTACTTTGTTGTTAGCACAGATACCTAAATAATTGATACTCTGTATTGCTGGAATGTTGTTGTGTTCAGTACTTTGATGAACAGATCAAAATAAAAATAGTTTGTAAAAAAAAAACAACAGTTCGTTTGGATTAGCATAAAAGTCACTATTCCTAAAATATTGTATCTGACAGTGTGTAGTCTGAAGAGATGAGAAACCTACAGCATATATGTTTAACCTTTCTTGACTTGTCTAAGCAGCCAGGGGAGATCTGGTTGAGGAGGTATGTGTAGTAATAAACAACTTTGACCAGGGTATGATTCTGTTGTGCCTGAAAGAGATTCTGGCATTCTATGTTTTGTTTTCTAAAAAAAGCCCTCTCTAAAATCCATTGTACTGGATTATTTCCAACCATTCTCCAATATCCCCTTCTCATTAAATGTTTTGTCCATGTACCTACATATTTTAGGAGTTAGATTATATAGATCCATTTCAGTTTTGCTTATGTGGAACAAGAGACTGCCTGGTGGCCAATTTACCCTCCACCCCCACCCCCGGTACAGTATATACAGAACTGCTCCATATTGATTTTGCTAAGCTGCTAGTAACTAGGAACCAGTGTAATTTTCTAAGTTTGGAATATGTATTGGAAGAGAGAATTTATTGGAAAGCCTATAGGTGGTATTGATGAATCTGTTTGACTCAGTACCCATAGGCCTCTTGTGTTCCTCCAGGTATCATCTTGTACATCGTGTATTTAACATATATATCAAAACTTTGGAAGCTGTTCATAAAATTCATGTCTAATACAGGTTGACAATCTCTTATCCCAAATCCGAAATGCTTAAAAATCCAAACTGAGATCTGGCTTTGCTTTCTGATAGTCGAATTTACTCAAATATTGTTTCATGCACAAAATCATTAAAATTACCATCAGGCTGTATTTTAGGCTTACATCCCATCTATAAGATATCTGATTATGAACATAAGTGCAAACATGGGTAATTTGAAAATCCAAAAAGATAACTGAAATCCAAAACAGTTTTGGTTCTAAGCATTTTGGATAAGGGATGCTCAACCTGAACTGGTAATAAATTGACTGTAAGACAGAATTGTTCCCTGGATCATGAAAAAAAGATTCAGCTTGTGTTGAATGACGTTATCTTCCAGTTGAAGACTTGGACCTCCAGTTCAGGACTACTTCTGGATTTGATTCTGAGCCTAGTTTCTGCAGTGGCCAGGAGTCTGTACAATTAAGGGTACTACATTGACTGTTCCTGTTTGTGTAGATGTTGTATCTGCTCACAGTGAAAATCAGACCATACATATTGTAAACAAATATTGGACATAACAATAAAAAATATGCTTCTGGCTACAATTACCATTAAATATTCAGCTTCCTATTTTCATTTTATTTTCAACAGGCTAAAATTTTGAGACATCTTAATGGTAAAGGTGCACATTTGTTGCTGCCTTTCAGTGCTCTGTCTTGAAATTGCATGCATTTATCTGTTGCTTTAGGTTTGGATTTTTTTATCCCTTCAGGTATGCCAAGTGAGTGCCCAGCAACCAGTTCAGACAGAGTTGCTCATGAGATACCACCAGCTGCAGTCTAGACTTACTACGCTCAAAATAGAGAATGAAGAGGTGAGAGCTGCAATTGTCTTTCATCTCTGAGTAAACAAGCTCTATCACTTCACTTATCCTAGTGATTCTATACAAGACACTGAATGCAAATTACAGTTGTTAATCTAACATAGCCTTTTCAGTTTAAAAGATTATGATCACTGGAAAATGCAAAACAAGTGTCTGTTTAGCTTGTTTGTTTTCAAATTATATGTGTTTGTGATAAAACAGTTGATGTCTAGCAAATCCTTAAGACTTTTTCTTATATTATTGCCGACTTGGGGTTGTCAAATGCTCAGGACAGATATGGCATGTTTGCAACAAAGGATATAGATGATATATTGGGAAGGAATACATAGGACTTAGGACTCGCTTTGGAATGCAGTTGCAAAGAGTAAATGAATATTTAATCATATCCTGAGAATAGTATATTAAGAATGAGTTTCCAGGGCACAACAAATTATTCTGGCTGAACTTGTTAGCATCTTAGATTTCAATTTAGAAATATTACTTTTTGGACTCATCTAGTGGCCATGATGACTGAAGAATTCTGGGAGTTGTAGCTAGCGACCATGATAACTAGCAGGAACCTTTCCAAATTTTTAGATGCGCAAGCATTTCTCTTACCATGCCAATAGCAGTACTGACTAATGTGTTTGTCCTGCTTTTCTCCAAGCAAGGTGACTTACAATGTAGCCTCAACAAATAGAGCATCCAATAAGTCCTGGCTCCCTAAATTGTAATCTCCGTCCATAAACAATCTAAATTATAATTTAAGGCACTTAATTGTAGTCTTCTGTCTCTTCTACTTAGGAAATGTTTAATTCAAAAATAAGGCAAGTCTCAAAGGCCATGCAGTCATGTTGACCTAATTGTATGTCCTTTCACTCTGCTTCACAATCTTCTGTGCCTATATTTCCGCAGGTGCGAAAAACATTGGATGCCACTATGCAGACATTGCAAGACATGCTGACGGTGGAAGATTTTGATGTCTCGGATGCCTTCCAGCATAGTCGCTCCACTGAGTCAGTCAAATCAGCTGCTTCAGAGACTTACATGAGTAAAATCAACATTGCCAAGAGGAGAGCCAACCAACAAGAAACTGAAATGTTCTATTTTACTGTGAGGATAAATTTCTGTCTGTACTTAGCAAAGTGTAAGAAAAAATCCTAGATGGAAAGTTGATATTATAGGTACAAAGATGACAATGCAGAATTGTTTTCTGCTATTAGAATTTCTTTTCTTGGCTCTTCAGCATATTTCAAAAATAACATATTAAATGTACATTACTAGTTCTAAAAAAGGGTATATCCTCACATTTGAGAATGGCTGCGCCAGACATTTTTGTCTCATTTGAAGGAGGAATCAATTCTTCATAGTTCTGAGATGGGAATTCCTTATGGGAGTGCTCCTGTTTGGTAAAAATGGAGAATGAGTCAGTACTACAGATTTGTATGGAACCATATGTTGTGGCCAACTAACATAACTTTTAAATTAGTAATCAAAAAAGTTTCTCACTTTCAGCTCAAGAATTTTGCAAATACCATTAGATTTTCACTTACAGTAAGGATGGGCAACTTTGGTGTGTCCAGGAATCAATTCCTACCACACCCCTAACATCTGCCACAGTTAACAGAGGTTTAATGCCCCTCGCTTTAAAAATGATTTAAAACTGCAGTTTTTCACGTGTGCTTTGCTATAGATAACAATCACCATTTCTGAAGACTTCCAGGATGTCAGCTTAGTTTTGAGGAAAACCAGACCTTACTAATAAGCTATAGTTCCAGTAAGCTATAGCTATAGTTCAGTGCTACTCAAAGCAGAAATCTGTGATCAAATGCAAGTCTGTAAGTCCCTTGAGGAAAGAGGGAAACAATTGGAGTCAACAGGCAATAGTATGGTGCCAGTTCCTGTCCCATTGGAATTTGGGGAGAAGTTCTGTATGATGTATAGCTTAAGATGCTATACATCACATAGGAGAAAAACTCTCATTTTCTTAACCATATTTCCCTTGGTGGTCTGGGTGAGGGTTATTTGTAGCCTGTGTGTCCAAAGGCCTAACATCCAGTCTGTCCTTTCAAACTCATGTACAACTCCTCCTTATGTTACATTGCAAGCTTCTTTGGAAATGCAAAGATGTTTAAACAACAGACTTAGACCAGGGGAGGGGGAGGGAGACACACACAGAGAGAGAGAGGGGGGGGGGGGGGGAGAGGAAAACATAATGTTTGGAGTTGAAAGTGAAACACCTGGCACATGGGGCCATGTAGAGTGCCTGCAGCAATAAAACAAATTACCTATCAGATATCTGAAACATTGGTAATAGAGCAGCAGACCTGGAAGTCAGTGGTCCCTGTACATTTTTCATTTTTTCAAAATAGTTATATTAGAAGCAACTTTGTTGTTGTGTGCCTTCAAGTCACTTCCAATTTATGGTGACTGTGCCACAAGTTTTTCTTGGCAAGATTTGGTCAGAAAGGTTTTGAAGTTGCTTCCCTCTAACGCTGGGAGAATGTGACTTGCCCAAGGTCATTCAGAGGGTTTCCACAGTTGAGTTGAGATTTGAAGTCTGGTCTGGGTGTGTTTAGCTCCAAAAGGAGAAGTCTGGAGAGACATTATGGTTGTCTGTAGGGATGCCATGCAGATGAGACAGCTAGCTTGTTTTCTTTAATTTGAACCAATGGGTTCAAATTACAAGTAAAGAGATTCCATTTAAATGTTAGGAAGAACTTTTTTAAAATTGTAAAAAGCTGTTTGACATGGAATAGATTGCTTCATAGGATGCTGGACTGGACTTTAGAAGTTAGATAATATTATCTCAAAAATTGAACTAAATGGCCCTTGTGGTCCATTTCAGTCCTATGATTCTATGAACAATGTCTAGTGATATGACAGTGTGAGTGGTGGCATTGTGCTCAGCAATGAGATAGTGTTCAGAATATTTCACTCCATAACCTCCATAGTTTTGTTAAGGATGATTTTGTGATCCACATGTTACAGAGAGTTAAAGCTTTGATTTGGAGCAATGAAATCTTAATAATAACCTTGTCCTTGTAGTACTGTATATTCTACACCATCGTAGCAAATATTATTTCTTTAGCCCAGATGTTTTTCTCTAATTTGTGTCTTGACATCCTCAAGGTGCATTATGTGCATGTTCTTCAACCTTCCCATTTCTGTGTATTGTCAAAGGCTTTTATGGCCAGAATCACTGGGTTGTTGTAGGTTTTTTGGGCTGTATGGCCATGTTCTAGAAACATTCTCTCCTGACATTTCACCTGCATCTATGGCAGGCATCCTTAGAGACTGTGAGGTCACAACCTCAGAGGATGCCTGCCATAGATGCAGGTGAAACGTCAGGAGGGAATGCTTCTGGAACATGGCCATACAGCCTGAAAAACCTACAACAACCCTTCCCATTTCTGCTTCCCTGCCCTGGTACCTCCCTCTCCACTGGTCTTCCTACTCTGCTTCTAGGATCTGTGCTTTTACTTCCCTGTAGGACACTATTATTAGACGTGAGACATTTGAAAATAAAAGTTATGCTCAGAACTATTCCACTAGCTCACAGAAGCATCTGATCAGCCAAGCCAGCAGACCTCATGTAGTGAGAATTCTTCTCTGCTTTATCGTTGTTTGCACAAAAGTGGAGTCCTTTCTGTGGAGAAGGGAAAAGCGCCTTTGCTTATTGAGGCCATTCCCAGAAGCTGGACAAAAGAAAGCTTTCTTTGAACTTTTGTCTTTTGAGTTCCTGGTGATCTCAGGCTCTGACCTCAAGCACATGGCTCGGCACAAAGGTTTTTGGCCTTATGAGAGCAACAGGACTGATACTTAAATGGTGGAAAAAGTAAAAGCCCAAGTGGAAAAGGCATCTTTGATCCAACTTTGTATCTATATATAACTGAAGTCTGGTTCATTAAGGCAGCCCATGTGCCCTCTGCTCCATGTTGATGTTCTAATGGGGGAAGAAATATACCTGACATAATATTTTACTAAGCATTTTTCCCATTTATTTTTGTCTATATATGTGTGTGTGTTTTCTCTCTTATAGAAATTTAAGGAATATCTGAATGGCAGTAATCTTATTACCAAGCTACAGGCTAAACATGATTTATTGAAGCAGACTCTAGGAGAAGGTAAGCCACACATATGTCTTGACAAAGAGACTGAATTTCTCATCAAAGATAATTTGAATCCTGATCTATAGATCCCACCTGTTATTTGCTGATTTCTTTTGACACTGTTTCTTGGAAGTTGCATCTGTTGCAGCACAATGAAAGACAGAGGAAAATTGTCATTTTTCCACCTGTTTTTCAAGTTTGGCTGACATTGGCATTGGAATACCCTCCTGCATTGATTCCTTTCTCAAAGCATAAAGCAGGCATTATTTTGTTAGGGACAAGCCCCATTATTTCTGTTTTGCCTGCTAAGGAGATATAAGTGGATGTAATGTAACTCTTTGTTGAATAGTAAACAGAAATAAAAGCATATTCCTTTGTGACATGTTCACTGTGTTCTTCTTAACAGTCATCCCTTTCATTTGGTAAATAAGGGATCTTGGTCCATTTCATTTGGAAAATAAAGGGTCTTTATGAACAACTGTAGCATGTCCCAGTATGAACAGATGCATATGTTGGGTCTTCTGTTACACATAAAAAGCTTTTCCATTACTATTTTTGAAAACAAACTGCCAACAGGAAAAATGATAGACTGGTGCTTCAGAACCAGAGTCTGCACCACTAGATTTTAGTAAGTTTCACTCCAGCAAAAATGAGTGGCATTTAATATAGTCAGTAATAAAGAGTTGAGTTGTTTCAGCATCTTGCTATGCATGCAGTGATAGTGAAAATCATATACAACTTGCAAAGGAATGATTTCTGGTCATCCTACATGATGGCTGTTAAGCTGAATGCTCTTTTCTCCTTTTTACAGCCAAGTAGTTGCATTAAGAGGAAAATCTTGTGATTTATGTCAAAAAGATTTAGAAAGAATTTGGTAGAACACAGGGCCCTTCATTTTTATCTAAATTTCTAAATTATGTGGCATTTTTGTTGTGGTTTTTTAATGCAATGTCTTGGGTCCCACCTTAGAAGAAAGATGACCTAGAAAGAAAATTAATAAATAATAAAAATATTTTCAACATAGAGATAAATTATCATGATTGAGAAAGCCTTGATGCTCATACATCAGGTTACATGTTTTTACTCTGATCTGGAATTGAATGTGCTAAGAAATGGTCAAGATCTTTAAGAGCCATATCTTAGTGATGAGTCATGGACACTGAAGTATGCAGCCTACCCCTCCACATACAAAAGTGGAAACACCCATGGTGGGACTGCGTGCCTAAATGAACCATGGATTGGTTTCTCTGCATTAAAGAGTCTTTTGTTTTATGTACATTTATATATATATGTGTGTGTGTTCTGTATAAGACCTATATGGTTTTCATATTTAGACATAGGAGCCCCCGGTGGCATAGTGGGTTAAACCACTGAGCTGCTAAACTTGTTGACTGAAAGGTTGCAGGTTTGAATCCGGGGAGCGGCGTGAGCTTCCGCTGTCAACCCCAGCTTCCGCCAACCTAACAGTTCAAAAACATGCAAATGTAAGCAGATCAACAAGTACCGCTCCGGCAGGAAGGTAACGTCACTCCATGTAGTCATGCCAACCACATGACCTTGGAGGTGTCTATGGACAGTGCCGGCTCTTCGGCTTAGAAATGGAGATGAGCACCAACCCTCAGAGTTGGACACTACTGGACTTAATGTCAGGGGAAAACCTTTGCCTTTACCTACGTCTCTAAGATATCTATCTCATTATGCTTCTGCCCCAAGCATTTCAGAGAAGGAATATTTAACCTGTACCTAGCAGGAATTTTTGGAATATATTGACCGATCTAAGGACATACAGGAGCCCCAGTGGCACAGCAGGTTAAACCACTGAGCTGCTGAACTTGCTGATCGAAAGGTCAATGGTTCGATTCTGGGGAGCAGGGTTAGCCCCAACTTCTGCCAATCATGCAAATGTGAGTAGATCACTAGATATCACTCCAGTGAGAAGGTAACACCGCTCCATGCAGTCATGCTGGCCACATGACCTTGGAGGTGTCAATGGACAATGCTGGCTCTTCAGCTTAGAAATGGAGATGAGCCCCCCCCCCCCCCTGATAGATCAGGCATGTAGCGGGGGGGGGGGGGGGGGCCCGAGTGGGACATGACTAGACTTAATGTCAAGGGGAAAGCTTTACCTTTTTAAGGACATACTTAAATATGTTAGATACTTTCCAATATACATTTCAATCAGTTCAGTTCATGAACGATCTACTTCTTTCAGATGATAACTGCAAGAAACAGGCAGCTAAAAGAAACTTCTAAAATAAAATTTCTTTCGATTGCTTTGATCATCTTTCTTTTAATGATTAAGGTTGCCAAAGTCTGACCTGACACTGTGCTTTTAGACCTTGCATTACTTTAATTCCTGTAGTGAGCTCAACTGAACCAAGGTTAAATAAATACTGATATAGTGGAATTTTGTCTACAAGAACCTAAAATAATAAATGCCTTCTTTAATGCTGCTGTATGCTCCTCTTCCTATTATCTCTCCCCCAGAATGTGTCATAGTGACCTATGACTGCTCTTGACACAGTTTCCTCTATCCAGAGCAAGAAGGCTCTTCAAAATATTTAATTTAAGTAGATGCCCAAGGTTAAATGTATGATTTATATCCTGTCCTGAAGAAACCAAGAGAAATCTAGTTGACCTGTTAACTGTAAAAGTTGTGTTGGGAACAAGAGACTGTTTCTTAGATGCTGAATTTGCAGATATTTCTGTGATTTATTGCCATAGCTTGCTGTCATACACTCAGGGAATGCACTTCACAGCATTTAGAATGTGCTGCCTTTGATCTGATTTTTGCAGTACGGATACTAACATATAGATGCTTATTTTGTTTTTGTTGATTTTAACCCTATTTGCTTATGTTCATATTATTTGCAGACCCTGTCTCATCAGAAGAGACAGTGGTTTGCATTTTTAAACTCAACTGCCTTTTAAGGAATCAAATATAGCAAATAGGGGAACTTTTTAATACTTTATCTTGAGTTTAAAAACTTTCACTCTCCTCCCTAAAACTAGTCACCATCCAACCATGTGCATCCTTAATGGAACAATGGCTGTCCTTTTTTCTCCAGATGTTCTTAAACCTGTGTTTCATATCACCATTAGTTAGGCGTGATCACTCTCTTCCATTGCCAGGCATATCTAAGAGCAGCTGCTTCCAAACTCATTATTTTGCAGTGATTAGCCCTCTCTAATAACTAGAGGGGCTGCGATGGCACAGTGGGATAAACTACTAAGATGCAGAACTTGCTGACCAGAAGGTCAGCTGTTTGAATTTGCAAGACATGGTGAACTCCCATTGTTAGCTCCAGCTTCTGCCAATCTAGCAGTTTGGAAAGAAATGCAAATGTGAGTAGATCAATAGGTACCGTTTTGGCGGGAAGGTGCTTCATGCAGTCATGCTGACCACGTGACCGTGGAGGTGTCTATGTACAATGCCGGCTCTTTGGCTTAGAAATGGAGATGAGCACCACTCCCCAGAGTTGGACTCGACTAGACTTAATGTCAAGGGGAAACCTTTACCTTTAATAACTAGAATTCTGGCTTATTTTCTCTTGTCACTTTCCCATCACCCCCAACTATTCCATGTGTGTATTTATATGATCATTGTTCTTCAGCTACATTTCTTTCATGAAACAGTGTGTTTTTTGTCTCTCATCTTTCTGGACTTGTTTCTATCTTGTGACCTGCAGTTCCTGCCCCCAAGGCATGTTCTCTGCTTCTGTATTAATTCTTTCCCTCTTTATGAAGTATATTGGCTTGTAATTCGCTCCGGTTTTTTGGTCATCTCACATCATGACAGGTTTTTCAACATCCTTAACCCGTATTACAACAGACGTTGCTGTTCCCCTTGTGATGGACAATGACTTTAACCTGTTGTCCCCAACATTTCTCCATGGATTTTAAGATTGGCAGTCTTCGCATATCTGTGTGTTTCAGCATGTTCATCAGCTCATCAGAGATAACAATATTTTTCTATTATTTAATCCTAGACAGTTTTGATATTCTCTTAACAACTTGCTTCACATGCAATTAATTCATCAATTAAGCACAAACATATCATCACTACACATTCTGTGTGACCCAGAAGCCTTTGGCTTTGTAGCCATGACTCATGAAGGGATAATAATTTGAGTGCCTTAGTTTTTTTGTCACTGTGGCAACAACCATTCATTCCAAATACATAATTAAGGCTTTTACGTTGTTTAAGGAATTGTATCTATGACAAGTTTCCTTCTCTGATTATCCTGTCGTCCCCACATTCTTTCCAATGTTTTATATAGTGAGCATTAAAAAGAATGCAAGAGGCAAAATTAAAAATGCAAGTAGAAAGACAAGCCTGATGCTAGTTCTTAACTGGAAAGTTTATTTTTAAAAGGCATGAAAAACCTGTCATTTCCAACAATGCATTTGTCAACCACAATTGAATATATTCTTTCTTTTCAGAGAATGCTGTGGAGACCTTTTTGTAGTGGGCCCTGAGCTCAGTGGCAGAAAACATGCTTTTCATGTATAATGCCTGGGGTTCAGCTCCTGGCATTTGGAATTAAGAGCCTTGGCAGAGAGGCTGGTTTGGGCTTGCTGGATCAGCTGTCTAAGATCTACCATATTTTATCTATAAGCCAAACTATACAATACTCTTACTGAGAAGCACGTAGCTGTACCTTCAGATTTTCTTTAATTTCTACAACCAGTGCGCCTCTCCATTTTATGGTCCAAAAGCTTTGAAAATCAGAAAACAAAGCTACAAGCTACATAGTGAGAGCGTGTAATTTGTCCCTGAGATGATGGCTTAATGCACAATTAAATTAAAACTGTCCAAAAGGTTTTACGGGTTTTCTAATGCTCCCATCTTAGGAACATAACTGTATAGTCAGGGATGAATCATATAAAAAATATTTCCTTTTTTGTACTTTAGAATGGGCAGAATGCTGGAGTAGTAGTAAGTGTAGTAGTAGTAGTAGTAGTAGTAGTAATAATAATAATAATAATAATAATAATAATAATAATTTTCTTCTCCAGAATTGCATTCTATTTATTTAGTTTCTTTAATCAGTTTATGTCTTGTCTTTCTCCTGACATGAGACTTCACAGCTTTCAACAAGATTATAACAAAATCTTTCTAAAAGCCTGATGATTAAATGAGATTAAAATACATCAAAATAGCTGTCATGTTAGAACACAAATAATTTAAAAAGTATAAATAATGTTTAAATACAACAATGCAGATGGAAATGTAGCACAGGGACCATGTCTCATTGAAAAAAAAGTTTATCGGCCAGTGGAAGGAGAGTAGAGGAAAGACGAGACTTTCCTCCACAATGTGGGATTCACCCCTGCGTAGTCCCTCTCCCTTGTCCCCACCAGGCTGGCCTGTGTCATTGTGATTGGAAGAGGGGGTGCTGTAAGAAAGCCCTCCTGCAAGGATCTTAAGACTCAGGCAGGCTGATAGAGAGAGATAAGTGTCTTTCAGATAATCTGGATTTAAGCCGTACTTAGATGCTTTCAGCAAACCACCTCACCAAGAACGCAAGGAGTGTGTTTACATTTTTATCTGTGGAAAGACATACACTTCTAAAAATTAATAGACTGTATTAACGATGCAGCTGCCACTTCTGTCAATTGCAACTGTTAAGAAATGCATGAAAAAGAGGAGGATATTGACTGTAAATGTGGACTCTGTTTGAGTACAATCAGGTGGTCAATTAACTTGTAGGAAAATGCTAAGCTGCTAAATACTGTTTGTTCACATGCAGTCCTCAACGAGGTGAAGGAATAATCTTCTGCTTGCTCCTTGGGGAGGATCATTCACATAGGGACCTCTCTTATCTCTTTTTTCTTCCCAGCCCTCTCCCCATTACTTTTTCCTTTGATTGCTGGAAATAAAGGCTATTCGGAGAAAGATCTTCCCCTGGTGCAGATTAACTAAGCTTCATTGACAGCTAAGCTACTCAATTTATGCCACCTTTAATAATTTATTTGCCCTCTTAATGAACTTCATCCCTGAAGGCTGAAAGCAGATAACATTTCTATAAGAAAACTTCAGATAGTACTAATCAAAGAATTAAGGCTTGCGATGGAGTTGAAAGATTCCACTCCCCAGGCCGGCCCCAGGTGGGCTTTTCAGTGATTGTCCAACTATATAGAGATCATGCATTATGTTTGGGAAATAACGGGGATGGAGCACTTCAAAGCTAGAACGGAGCCTCTGAGAAGTTCTTTCCCTGTTTAAGAATCTATTGCTGGAGAGGCACAAGGAGCAATAATGGGACTGTGTGGAGAGATGATGAAAAAAAAGCTAGCATACCTGAACTGTTTGGTTTGAGCAGGATGCTGAGTTACTATGCCCTCACAATGACCTAGATTTTTTTGGAAGGTGTGGCATGGTGTTGTAGTTTGGGTGTTGAATCAGATTTAGAAGACCAAGATTCAAATCCCCGCAACTCTATAAAAAATCAGTGGGTGACCTTGGACAAGTCATACCACTCTTAGCTTCAGGGGAAGGCAAAGGCAAACCTTCCTTGAACAAATCTAGCTGAGAAAACTCCTTGATAGCCTTGCATTAAGGTTATTAAGTCAAAAATGAAGAAATGCCACAACAGTGATTTTTGACTTACAAGATGCTTTTTGAAATACAGACTGGGCTTTAAGCAATTTGTAAGATCTTTGGGATCAATTCAGTTTTCCACTGAATGTATCTAAAAATAATGCAGATTATTTTGTACTCATCTGGACTTCAGAAAACTATAATTCCTTTTAAAAAGAGAAACAGTCGTGACATCTGCTCTTGGAAGCTAAGTAGGGGCAGTAAAAAAAAGGTAAAGGTTTCCCATTGACATTAAGTCTAGTCATGTCCAATTCTGGGGGTGGTGCTTATCTCCATTTCTAAGCTGAAGAGCTGGTGTTGTCCGTAGATGTCTTTAAGGCCATGTAGCCATCATGGCTTCATGGAGCGCTGCTACCTTCCTGCTGGAGTGCATGTTTTTGAACTTCTAGGTTGGCAGAAGCTGGAGCTAACAGCGGGAGCTCACCCCACTCCCCTGATTTGAACTTCCAACCTTTTGGTCAGCAAGTTCAGCAACTCAGCAGTTTAACTCACTGTGCCACTAGGGACTCCAAGTAGGGACAGTACTGGGTACTTATTGGATGGGACCCTACCAGTTAATATCAGGTGCCATAAGCTATACTTCAGAGGAAGGAACTGGCAACGTTACCTCTGAGTATTCCTTGCTTAAGGAAACCCTATGAAATTAATGTTAGTCATAGGTTGATAGACAAGTTGAAGGCATACACAAAAGATCATTAAGTAAACAAATAGAAATTAATACATTATCTTTCTCTCTGTCTCCTCCAGGTGAAAGGGCTGAATGTGGGACCACCAGGTAAGTAGGATCCCTGGCCGTTCCCATTTCAAAGATCATTTCATATGACCCGCGCAAGCGAAACCAATCTGGATGTTAACTGCATCTGCTAACAGTAGTTCTCAACCTGTGGGTCCCCAGATATTTTGGCATACAACTCCCAGAAATCCCAGCCAGTTTACCAGCTGTTAGAATTTCTGGGAGTTGAAGGCCAAAACATCTGGGGACCCACAGGTTGAGAACCACTGTGCTATAAGCAGATCTATGCAAATGTTTGAGCAAAAATGCTCCAAACATATGCTAAGGAGGGAAACAGTGACTGGCTACTCCTCCCTGCATCAGCAGCCTACCTTGTGCCTGCATTGCCCAAATATATTAATTAGAGAGATGACAAACAGGTCCTCATTTTTGCTGCAGTGTAATTTCTTGCTGACTAGCTCTGAAACCATGAGAAATGCTGTATCAGCACTGTACACTGCAGAGTCTCGGTGGATGGATCAGAATGTGTTCAGCTCTTCGAAGACTGTCACATTAACTACTCCTCTTAGCAGATGTCCAGTGCCTCCCTAGTTCACCAGTTCATTCACACACAGCAGATTTATCTATTTTTCTTTATTAGAAAGAGAGAAGGATAAAGCATCAAGAATAAAGGAAAATACTGGATACTAAGTGGAAGGAGGCATAAGGGAAAAGCTAGGGTTCTTTGAGGGAAAATGAGGAAATTGAGAAAGTCAAGAAGGGAATGGGAAATGCAAAAGTGAGGTGCTGATAGACTTTGGAAGAAGACACAAACCTTGTTCAGTTTACCTGTGTAGTCATACAGTAGCAATAGCCTATGGTGAGGTCCTCATGGAAGAATTGAAAGGATAAGATGGAAGCGAAAGGTGGGAAGTTCCGATCTGGGGTCTTTGGCACAGGGCAAAATACAAATTGAGAATGTTTACTTTGCTAAACAAGGTTGGCTGAAGTTCTTCATTGTTGAGAACTTGCACAAAACAAACAGACATGCATTGGCTGAAAACCTCAAAATACACTTCTTGTTCTATTTAGTGAGTTAGCTCAAGAGTTTCCATTGCATATATCCTTCCATGTTTCATTGCTACTATAATAATATCTTCCAACTCCATCATCATTACAAATACCAGATAGACTTAGACATATTTAATTGTAATGGTTACCATCAAGAAAATCTAGGGGTTGAGCTGTTTTGAGCTAGTTAAGAATTGTTTGTCAAGATAGTCCTAGTCTTCACATGCCATGGCTTTACTCTGGTTGTGTCTTAAGGTAAATGGATAAAGGTTGTGTCTTATGCCGCACAATTAAACAGTCTGGTAACGTTTTAATGGACTTGGCTCTTTCCTATGGAACTCTGGGATTTGTAGTTTGGTGAGCTCCTTGTAATTCTTGTTAGGATTACCATATATCAAGACTGGACCTTGAAACCAGTTTTCACAGGTCTCCAGGTGAGAGATGATGGTACAATTTCTCCATCTCAGCTCCAGGCAAAGGGCTGTGTGCAAATCTTCTTCACAACAATGAGTGCAGCAGCTTTCTACAGTTTGCAAGTCTTACATGATTTGATGCTGCAACTTGCACAAACTCTCCTTGGAATGGGAAGAGTTCAAATATTTACTTAGCCTCTTCCTTTCAGTTGTCACAGTGCTCTCTACTCTGCATTCACCTTCTGGTTAGAATCAAGTATAGTAATCGTAATAGATTATGTGTTTCTTATTTCATCTTCCTAGGTAAGTGAGATGAAGAAAAAAAATCCCCCAGTTCACTTTGATGCAGGAATATCTCATTTAGTTGCAATATAAGAGTCTTCTGGTAGGGCATTACCAGTTCCTTACCAAATTCCCAGTACCAGGATTCAACAGACTACAGCCATGGTCGGAGCCCCCGGTGATACAATGGGTTAAATCCTTGTGCTGGCAGGACTGGTGACCGATAGGTCAGCGGTTCGAATCCGGGGAGCGGGGCAAGCTCCCGTCTGTCAAGCTCTAGCTTCTTATGCGGAGACATGAGAGAAGCCTCCCACAGGATGGTAAAACATCAATCATCTGGGTGTCCCCTGGACAATGTCCTTGCAGACAGCCAGTTCTCTCACACCAGAAGCGACTTTCAGTTTCTCAAGTCACTTGTGACACACACAAAAAGCCATGGTGGTTGAAGTGGTATAAATAGCTATAATTGTGTAGTGTTGATACATTCTTGTGGTCAGACTACTGGTCTCCTCCTTGCCTGTGTTAAATCTGTATTAGAACCTTGCAGGCCATGCTGAAGGAGTTACCACTTCTTCCAAGGCTTCCTTGAGGCCAGGGTTTTCTGGAGATAGATAACAATGAGACCACCTCTAATGTTCTCTCAGAAGGGCCAATGCCTTTGCCAGTTTTAAGTGGGGAGAAAATTCATAGAGTTGGAAACAGGGTGGCTTCTTTTTTACCTAAGTTTAGTGGTGGCTTTCTAGAAGCCTGGGAACCATTTCAGAACCCATTCTGTTTATGCTCAGATTGCTTCACTTTTTTGCTTATTTAAAAGAATAAGCTCCTAAAATTGCCATTTCATTCCACTTGAGCAGTGCACGGTGTATTTCTCGTGCCAAAAGGCAGCATCTGCTCACACTTCATCTTCCCTTAATATGCACAGCACAAGACCTTGCAGGATTGAAGTCAGTCATTCTGGCTCAGCCTGTAGATTAATTTAAATCGCTGCATATTTTCAGTAAGGAGGAAGGTGATAAAGGTGGTGGATGGTGGTTTTTCCTGTCACTTCCAGAGTACCCCCCCCAAAAACAAAAACAAAAATGTTTTTCAGCTTAGCTTGCAATTAGAAAAAAGAAGGGTATTAAACAATGGAATCTGGGAACTTAACATGGAGAATACAGAGCTGCCAAATTCTCCTTCTAATGTCACAGAAACCAGTCATTCTCTTTATATAAATAGATAGTACAGTATGAACCTACCTCATATTAATGGGAGATACATTCCAAGCCCATACCTAAAACCGTGGATAATTATGAATCCTCTATTTTGACTATATTTGGGGTGGGTTCATTCCGTTGAATTCTATTGGAGAACTTCTAGAGGACCACAAACACTTCTGTGGTAGGGGGGATATTTTTTGGATCGTGGGTAAGTGAAAACATGGCTATGAAATCCATGAATTCAGCAGTTATTCCATTCTACTTTAGTGTATAACAAAGTGTGCAGAATTATTAGAGAAATTATGGATGTTATTTTTTTCTTATTTGCAAACAAAAAATAACTTTCTTCATACATGAAATTCTTTATTTAACCAAGCATATGAGAATATTGAAATGTAAAGCATCTTGATAAGTGACAACTGTACAAAAATAGACTTTTTGCATTTCAGTAAATGTGGAGGTCACTTCAAATATACTTCATCATAATCTAATAGTACTTTTGAGTCCCCCAGGGGGGCAGTGACCTTTTTTGGTCAAGGATATGAATGGATGGCTATGAGACGAGAGTTAGTGCAGTGTTTTGAAAAGCTAGAACCACGATAGCATGGATAGCTCCAGGTGGAATTCTCAGACATTTTCCCAAGAAGGTCAGATTTACTTGTGCTTTGCAATATTCCTGGATAGCTGAGGCAATATTTAAATCCTATCTCATAGTCAACATTTTGCCTTGTTCAGAGTGGATTACATTTAAACCCCTTCCCTCCTATTATAATAAAACATTCCTTTGGAATGGGGACCTAGCATTGTACTCTTAAGATGCTGGGGAGCCTTTTTTTTTCTCTGTTCCTCATCACCAGTAATTAAAAGGATAACAATATTGGAGGAAGATATGAAGATGGTGGTGTTCATACAGTGTAGTTGAAGCATTAATCCCTACAGAGTCTTCCCTCTCCCTTCTGAGGACTTTTTTTTTACTTGCAGTCTTTGAGATCTTTCCCTGCCATTGTATTCACGTTGATGTTTTGTTGGTCTCTTTTGTTCCATTTTTCTCAGGCCCCCCTGTCTTCCCCCTAAACCACAGAAAATGAGGAGACCTAGGCCTCTCTCAGTCTATAATCATAAACTCTTTAACGGCAATATGGAAACATTCATTAAGGTACTTGCTGTCTAACAGTCAGAGTCTGTGAACACTGTGGATGTAATGGTAGCATATTTTTTCCCTTCTTCTAACCACTGACCTGCTTCCTTTTCTTGGACCTGGGCTTTCCCATGCACTGCACATTACACCATTAAAATGTTTAGTATGCTCTCTGCCTCAGTGATCATTTCTGTTGTGGCTGCCTGTCTTTGTTGTATTGGTACCTGTTCTTGTACCGTGCCAACTTGGTAGGATGAGATAACAGACATGAACCTTGCTGAACAGGATGGGAACTCAGCACCCTTTGAGCATGTCAGCAGGCTAATTGCAATCTGCCATATCTTATCGATTCAGACAGAACCACCATGGTTTTATAAGCTGTTATCTATACAGATATCCTGGAATTTAAATGCAGAATGGATGTCTCCCATGAAAAGAGATTTACAGGGGATCAAGGTTAAAACAAAAATCCTGAAAGATTCTGGCGCTCAGATTAAAGTGCCTCTTTCATTTAAGAAAGGCAAGATGTGATCAAGAGTAGCAAAATTTCTATCAATTAATTTGTTCTATAAACAGTGAGTTATTAACTGTCCTGAAGGAAAACAATAGAACTATAGAAAATATGTGGCTATATGTATTGTTGAAGGCTTTCATGGCAGGAATCACTGGGTTGTTGTGTGTTTTCTGGGCTGTATGGCCATGTTCCAGAAGCATTCTTTCCTGACGTTTCACTTGCATCTATGGCAGGCATCCTCAGAAGTTGTGAGGTCTGTTGGAAACTAGGAAAATGGGGTTTATATATCTGTGGAATGTCTAGGTTGTCTGTTCAAGGTAGGTGTGAACATAGCAATTGGCCACCTTGATTAGCATTTAATGGTCTAGCAGTTTTCAAGGTCTGGCTTGTTACTGCCTGGGGGATCCTTTGTTGGAAGGTGATTAGCTGGCTCTGATTGTTTCTTGTCTGGAATGTCCATGTTGCTATCTAATATAATCCTGGGATTGACAATTTAGGAGTGGTCTTTAGAAGTCTTAATCAAAATTATTCTTAGGTCTGACCAAACTACAAGGATTCAGCCATAGCAGCTAAAATGAAAATATACTGCAATAATAGTGCTGTGTGAGAAGGCTCCTATTCTGTACCAGAGGCAGTTTCTGGATTGTTTTTCAAGGCAGTCCTACTTGCAATGCGTTACAGTAGTCTAAAGGCTACCAGAGTACAGATAGCTAAGAATTTCTGTCTAGCAACATCTCACCTGATGTATCAGCTTGAATGAATGAAAGGTTCTAGTAATTTAAGCCCTGGACTAGTACTCTGGAGACCAGAGTTCAAATCATAATTTAGCAATAGAAATCCACTGGGTGACTGTGAGCAAGTAATTTCCTCTTGGAGGCAGACAAAGAAACACTCGCTATGACCAAATCTTCCCAAGAAAACCCTGTGATAGCTTTCTCTTATGTCACTTGAAGGCACAGAGCCCCACCAACAACAACTTGACATCATTTGATAGCAAGACCAATAAACCTTGGTGGCAGTGCTGAATCTTTAAGGACACCTATAATGGATATCTTAAGAAGAACTTCGTTTGATTCCAGATTATAAAGACATAAATCCACAGTTTCTGAAGGCTGGAGGGCAAAAATTCATGTTCAGGTGTGTTGTGTATTGCTGCATGAATCATAGAATCATAGAGTTGGAAGAGACCTCATGGGCCATCCAGTCCAACCCCCCACCAAGATGCAGGGGGGACAGATGGCCATCCAGCCTCTGTTTAAAAGCTTCCAAAAAAGGAGCCTCCACCACACTCTGGGGCAGAGAGTTCCACTGCTGAATGGCTCTCACAGTCAGAAGGTTCTTCCTAATGTTCAGATGGAATCTCCTTTCTTGTAGTTTGAAGCCATTGTTCGGCGTCCTAGTCTCCAGGGCAGCAGAAAACAAGCTTGCTCCCTCCTCCCTATGACTTCCTCTCACATATTTATACATGGCCATATTTATTTACATGGGCCTGATATAGTTGGGTTCCATTTTTCAAAAGAAAGGTGTGTGTATATGTTTGTGGGTGTGTGTGTCATTACATATGCTTGGCAAGCTACTTTTCTCCGACTATGTTAAAAAAAATTGGAAGATTCATTTGAAAAAAATAATCTCAGATCTCCATAGATCTCACCGCTAGTTGGGAAGAACTGTAAGCTAAGAGATGTTGAAGAAATAGAATCTTTAATTGGATTGAGGAATTGGTACAAGTTTTCTATCCAGTTTCATTTGGTATTCAGCTATATGCCTTGGGCAGATCTTAAAAATACAGTGCTAAATTTGGTATGCTGAAAGATTTGTGTTGTTTAAAGCAATATAGAGTATTGTGAAAACACATCTAAGCATTCCTGTTGTTGTACAAAAGGAAATTGCTCTTTGAATGGTTTCAGTGGTTTAGAATAAATTGTGACTTTTGTTGGTGGTGGAGTGAAAGGTTTATCTTGGCTTGACTAATGCGCAATATAAATTTCTAAAGAGCTTGTTTCTGTACTTGGGATTTCCCATTGTAGGGTTTAATGTACATCCTAGTTTGAGAGAAATGTCTAAAATCAAGCGATACTATTCTACTAAGAAGATTGAGATGTATTAAAATGCCTAGGAGAGAAACAATATTCTCTGTGTATAAACTGCTCTGAGATCTTTGTGTAAATAGAGGGTTACAATCAGTATCTTAAGCCATAGGCTTTCTGATTTGATATGTGCAATCATACAAGGGTTCTTGGCCCTTATTGTCTGATTAGTGCTGCTTTTTGTTGTTATGTGCCTTAAAATAATTTTGGATCTTTTATTTATCATGTCAGGAGCGAACCAAGGGTACAATTTTGGTGTATTTGAGAAAACACAAAGTTTAAAAACTTGGTATTTTATTAAATCTCCTTTGACCAGTAGCTGGCCACTTGGAGTGCCTGTGGTGTTGCTATAAGAAGGCCCTCCATTGTGCATGTGGCAGGGTTCAGACTGCATTGTAGTAGGTGGTCTGTGGTTTGTTCTTCTCCACACTTGCATGTTGTGGACTCCTCTTTGTAGCCCCATTTCTTAAGGTTGGCTCTGCATTTCCTGGTGCCAATCTGTTCAGTGCCTTCCAAGTTGCCAAGTTGCTTCTGTGTGCCTGGGAGGGAGTCTCTGATTTGGTATCTGCCATGAATTGAGGTGCTGGGTTTGAGCCTGCCACTTTTGAACTCTTGCTTGCTTAGCTGTTCCTGCGACTATCTCTGTTGATCTTAGAACTATTTCTTGATTTAAGTAGTTGACATGCTGGCTGGTATCCGAACAGGGGATCGGTCAGAGATGTTACTACCTTGGTCCTTTCATTATTGGCTGCTACTTCCCGGACCATGTCAGGTGGTGCAATACCGGCTAAACAGTGTAATTTCTCCAGTGGTGTAGGGCGCAGACACCCCGTGATAATGCAGCATGTCTCATTAAGAGCCACACCCCTGTTTTAACATGGTGAGATGTGTTCCACATTGGGTATGCGTATCCTAAAGTGAAGCTCTCACAGGGTTTTCTTGGCAAGATTTGCTCAGAAGAGATGTGCCATCCAGTGTTAATCCTTTAACACTGATTACATTGCCTTGGTTTCTGGTTGCTTCCATGCCCATTTCAAGGTGCTGATATATGTCTGAAAAACATGAGAAGTTCAGAAAATGTGATTTTGTCTGGCACAAATTTACAATCCCATTCCCTAAGGGAAAAAAAGAAATTATCAATGGCTACTAGTAATGATGGATATATGTGGTTATATATCAACACATATATCATAAGCAATATGTATCTGTCAGCTTCTAGGAAGCATGAGAAAGAAGATCTCATTGACTGCTTTCTGTAGGTAACAGTTTGTGTATGTAACTGGAAGGCTAGACCAAATAGGGCTTCTCTCTGGTCCAAAACTGTTCTTCGTGGGTTCCTATGTAAAATCCAAGTAAAATATATTGTCGAAGGCTTTCAAGGCTGGAATCACTGGGTTGTTGTAGGTTTTTCAGGCTTCCCACAGATATAAACCAATTTTTCCTAGTTTCCAACAGACCTCACAACCTGTGAGGATGCCTGCCATAGATGCAGGTGAAACATCAGGAGAGAATGCTTTTAGATCATGGCCATACATCTCAAAAGTTCTACAACAACCCAAATAAAATAATTGAAATAAAATCTAACTATAAATTATAACAAAATATGCATAATAGATAAAAGAAAACAGCTCCACCAATGCCCCCTTAAAAAAAACCAACAAAATAAATAAAAACAAACCAAGTTCCATAGTAACATTGCAAGTCAAGGCATTTCAGTTCTCAGATAGGGAACCTCTTTTGTTCTCTAAAAGGCTCCTCCTTTTTTGCCAGTAGGGTAGTGAAGGGTAAGTTGCTGAATCTGAAGATCTTGGTGATGGGTCTGTTGGAGAAATGGAAATAAATTCTGACAGGAAGTCCTGGAAAACCCCTCACTGAGGCAGAGAGGTTGCATACTAAGCATTTACTACATGGGATGTTGGAGCTTGGATTAGATCTTTCTAAGCTGCCATTGCATTTGAGCTTTCATAGCCTCTGGAGAATGTACTTACTTTAACTGATCTGTTCTTGCTTAACCTTTTCTTTTTTCCCTACTTCGCTGCTTTACTTGCTTATCAGAGGAAGAAGAAATGCTCGAACAAGAAACCAGGTATTTACTAGAAGGCCTCCTGTCTGGAAACAAAAATGTGGATTTAGTAGAAGCAACAGAACTAAAATGAAAAGATGCACTTATATAATCATGTGCTAAACATGTTTCAAACTCTCCCCTTAAAGGAGTTCACATGTGTGTTGAGTTAGCAGGAGATAAGAAAGCCGACCTGTTCATGGTCACTCTCCCTCTGTCCAGGATCTCAGACGTTTTCTGGAAACTGTAAATGTTTCTATGGTAGAATCAAGGAACAGTGAAACCTTTCTGGATCTAGCAACCCTCCAGATTGGTTGTTCTAAGGCTTCCACCAATCCCAACCAGCATGGTATTAGAAGGACTTATTGAAGGGTGATGGGAGTTGCAATCCAACCTATCTGGAGGTGCACCAGTTTGTATTTTTTTCTGAAAGACCTGGTGTGACTTCTACCTATACTTTTGTACAGTATGAAGTTATGATCTAGTTACATTATTTTCATATGTTGCTTCAGTGTAAGTCAGGTTGACACTAGGAGCCACTTCTCATTTCTCTTGCCAAATAACATTATCACAACTAACGGTATGCAGTATAAATGAAGCACTGCTTGGGTAAAAATCACATATGATCATTGTTACCTTAATTTCTTGCTAATTCTGTGGCTACACTAACAGAGCTTATTCTTCATCCTGGGATTTCTTGCACGATCTTTGCTTGACTATGTTCTTAAAACATTGACTCCATCATCCAATCATTATACTCATTTTAAAACATTTTTGATATTAATTTTAAGGATTCAGGACAAGCTATTCCACTTGTGGTTGAAAGCTGTATTCGATACATCAATTTATATGGTAAGTTCACATTCTCAGTATCAGTGTCTTTATTGGAGGTTGTGCCCTCCAAAAAATTTGCATCAAATATGGAAACGGATGTGCCAATCTATTAGACTAGATGAACCAAAAGTTACTTATAACTAGTTAATGTATACAACTGTCCTTCCACATTTTCAAGTTTGACATTTGCAAAGTTGATTAAGATGTTCTCTCTAGGAACCTGTAGATCTTCCAGTACAATTCTGTGTTTGGCTTCTGGTGGAGGTTGGTCACAGGGTTGTGTTAAAAGATCTAGATATACCTAGAAAGGTATTTTCTCATCTTAAAAATTAGCATTTTTTTTAAATTAGAAGTTTTCTCACATTTGTGGAAGTCATGTGCTTCTAACCTAAGCAAATATGGAGGACTGACTATTTAGCATCAAATAAATATTTTACAGTGATAAATACCTGGACTGTATGTGTGCTTATGGATCAAATTGTATTGTTTGAGCTTGTGGGATTGCTTGCAGGCTTTTCATTTACTGAATTATATTGTTAAGAATATTGATGATAAAGGATCCATTTTTATTCTAGGGCAAGTTAGAAGATGTTAAATCCCCTGGGACATTTTTAACTTCTGCTGGAGAGAATTCTCTTCCCATGAATGGTTCCCCTATGGACACAGTTGCATAGTATAGGTAGTCTTAGTGAAAAGACATTGGATTGAGAATTGGACTGGATGGTCCTTGTGGTCTTTTCCAACTTTATGTGACTTAGCCTTGCTTACCTTAGCACTGTGTTGTTTAGCAGTGAAGGTTTATCTTTAAGATACTTTCACTTGCAAAGAGAGATAAATTAATAATTATTTTATAGTTGAATCTCCTCTCTCATTGCAAAAACTGTACTGACAGAAATGAAGGATATCTGGCAAGAGTTCAGGTACCCTGCGTTGACTTGTCCTGCTGTCATTTATCTCAAGCTCAGGAAAAGTATTTTTTTGAGGACTACCGTTTGAAGAATTCTCAAGCTGGCCTGGGGACTGGCCGCTCTGGATGAAGATTCTGGGAATTGTAATTTTTTCAAGCTCTGATTATATCTGTAGAGAAAGTATTATTAGATGTACTTGTAAGTGCCATCTATAATTGCTTTAAATTTGTATGTTTATTTGTGAAGTGGGAAAACTTTGATATTTTGACAAGATTTTGCTGTTCTTTCAGTCTGTGTATATATATCAAAACAAGAATAAAAATATCTGAAACTGTGGGGGTTTATTCCAATCCCATTGTCACACATACAGTAGACCTTTATTTTTTAACCTTTATTTATTTTAGGTCTACAGCAGCAGGGTATTTTTAGAGTTCCCGGATCTCAGGTTGAAGTCAATGATATCAAGAACTCATTTGAGAGAGGTATGTGAGTAGTCTGTGATTCTTATATGTACCCTTGGTGCTACTTTTCTTTCAACTTCAAACTCTAATAATATGAAAGCTTTTTTATGAAGGTGAAAAATTGTTTTGACTACTTGATTTCATTCTTAGAGTTTCAGTTTTAAGGGATGGTGATGGGGTGTTATCATGCCCCATGAAGACCCTCACTGTTTAAAAATAGTTAAGCTCCTTTTACTTAGCGAGATTAATATTTTATGTACAGTTACTGGAGGGTCAGACTAGACAGCCTCTTTGCATTTGAATGCCTCCATCACCTTGCACCTTTAAGAATCCCCTTAGAGGCAGAACCTCAGGTAAGGCACTTCTGGTTCTTGGGAGAGTCTGCCTTTTTGTGACTGGAAGGTGAAGGGAAAGGAGGGTTGGAGGGTCTACCATATCACACATCCATTTGGAGCTGTATTCAAGTCCAGTCAGAGATAAATATTGAGACCATTTTAGAGACAGTGCATACAATAAAGAATCAATAAAAAGAAATAAAGATTCAAGCTCCTCAGTTTGGCAACAACTTGTCTTCCTCTCAAGGACTTTACCTCTCCTCATAAAGACTTTGTAGTGAGATTAAGGAGGAGAGAAAGTCTAAAATTAATGTCAGTTAATCAATTCTTGTTTGATTCAACTATCTGATCTGTTCCCTGTGCAGCCAGTTCACCTTCCAAGTAGTTAAGATAGTGTGGGGGCAGAACAAGTATAGTACTTTCGATTTTTCATGCCATAAAATAATGTACTGCATACTCATTTCTAAGCCTTTCAGAAGGTATTTTAAAAGCTTGTGAGCAAGTTAGAAGTTGATCAAGTATTTCAAAGTGGAGTTTTCAAAACTTGTTTTTAATTACTCAGATTCATCTAAGAATGTCGTGAAGTATTACCAAGAAACCAAGGGGACAAGAGCAATAACCATGTGCCAAATGACATTTTGTGTTAAAAGAATTCATAAACCATGCCAAAACAACTTTAAAAACATGAAACTAGATAAAACGCTATCCCACCAAAAGCACTTTTTGACACCAGATTTGTGAGCCAAAGGTCTGCTTCATTACAAAACCTTTTGTCTGTTGAGTTATTTGTAACTAGTCCAAACTCTGTTCTCTCCTAAACTGGAAATAAACTCTAATGTTAAAAATAAATCTTTTCACTATCTAGGTGAAGATCCTCTTGCTGATGATCAGAATGAACGTGACATCAATTCTGTTGCTGGGGTCTTAAAACTGTATTTCCGGGGACTGGAAAATCCACTCTTTCCTAAGGAAAGGTTTCAAGACTTGATCTCTACTATAAGTAAGTACAGTAACTAACTTAAGAAATGGTAAAACCAACTTCTTAAATTCTATACACCATGATCCTTTATTTTTCTAGACCTTAGACTGCAAAGTGGAGGAATTACTTGCTTATTTAAGTCTTAGCTGACAATTACTATGCAGTAATTTGCAAGTTTTCTGCCATGACTTGTGGTTACTTCAGACCAAGATGACTTCCTTCACCCAACTCCCCTTTTCAGGGTGTTGAACTTGGAATGCTAGCTTCACTTTCATTTTTAGACTCTGAAAAATGATCTTCTGGTCTCTGAAAAATAGAAAAGCCCTCAAGAATACAGTCAGGCAACGGCGGCACCATAAGGGAAAGGCGGCACCATAAAGAATACAGTCAGGCAATACAATACAAATACAAATTTGTTGAAATAGGATTTGACAAATAGAAAGCCTACAACAATACAGCAAAATAGAAACTCAATATTTCTTGTATATTCATATCTTAGCTTGCATCATTTTAGATTACCATTTCAGAGTTGCACAATGTTTCCTTGGTGGTTTTTATTCTTACTCTCTGTTTCTTCACTTCTCCGTTTTTAGTTTGGGTTCTGTTTTGTTTTTGTCCTAGCTGAAATAGTTCAGTTCCACTGAACTCTGTTGATATGCTAGTCATTTATTAATGTTTTAAGAGCCATTGATTTCAACACAGTTCAGTTCCAACTAAGTTGTCTTAGGTGCAAAAAGGCAAACAATGTCTTAAAGTAGACTTATATTTGAATATGTTGCAAATCACTTATGGCAAGGGAATTCAACAGTTCTATAGTATGTACAATGAAATATGAGCCTGTTCTCCCATGTATATGAATGAGAGATAGATATCATTAATTCATTGGGTGGAAACATCTTTCCTTACTCCCAAGTATATCAAATGGTAGCAATTCACACATTATTCTCAAACTTCATGTCCATCTAGCTGTTGTCTGCAGTCTGTCAGAATAATAATGTGCTTTCATCAAGGTGCTAAAGTAACGATTGCCAAATAATGTATGACGACAGGCTTGGACCACTGAACAAAAATGTGTTGATGTATGCCTTCATCATTTCTGACATTTGGTGTCCTTAAGACGGAACATGTCATGGGGTTTTCTTTGGAAGATTTGTTCAGAGGGGGGTTGTCTTTGCCATCCTCTGAGGCTGAGAGAGTGTGACTTACCCAAGGCCATCTGGGGGTTTCTATGGCTGAGTGGGTATTGGAACTCTGATCTCTAGAGTCCTCGTCCAATGTTCAAACCACTAGACTGTGCAGACTTCTGAACAGGAATATAGTACCACAATACAATCATGGATATGTTACAGATTCAGTACATGTTTATACATTTGGAGGTATGCATAAGTATATGCTTATATTTCAATATAATTAAACTAGGTGTTCCAGGTGTTTGGATCTATCACGTCTAAAAGAGGCCTGCATAACCTGTGGCCTTCCAGATGTTTTGGACTCCCAGTATTCCTGACCATTGAACAAGCTATCTAGGCCTTCTGTGTGTTGGAGGCTCAAACACCTGTAGATCAACAGGTTGTGCAGGCCTGCTCAATAATCTCCAGTCAATATGGCAAAATTATTAGGAATAATGGCATATGGCTTTTGGACGAAACAATGTTGTATATTCTTGCTCTATTCCAGCTCTCATTTAAACAGAAGAGTAGACATCTCGAGAGCTGTTCAACTCAACTGCTGTCCTATTTCTTATCTGAAATTATGTGCAAGGACAAAAAAGTAGACAAATGGGAGCCAAAAAATGCTGTTTATCACCTCATGTTCCAATGAAGAGAGAAAGGCTAATGGTGCAGAGCAGCTTTTTCCTCTTTGGAGCTTGAATTGTGGCATAGGAGGAAGCTGATATGATTTCCCTTGGCTTGTGCTAAGTTGAGCTGACTGACTTTTGGCAACATGTAACCTTGTTCATGTCACAGGGCATTTGCATACCTCAGAGGTCTGCAGTGCCACAAAATCCACGACTGGCTGTGTGGTTAGCTGGGGAGACAGTCAATCTCTCCCACAGTCCTAACAAGCAGGAGGTTAGTTCTTAATGTTGGTGGATGTGAGAACTGCGACATTTGCATGAACCAGTTTATCATAGCGAGCACAGTAACAAACGTGAATAACTGTGAATCAAAACTGTTACATTCAGATAATAATTGCACCCCAGTGTTCATACTGCTTATACCTATTTCTAATAAATATGTTTAATATATTGATCACTACTTTGAGGAACATCAAGACCCCAACAGCATAATTTTATATCTAAATCTACAAAATAATATAAGGGTTTGTTTTGTCCAAATTAAAATTAGTATTTCATTTTGTTTAAATATCTGTTATTGCACAGAAAATCTCATTGTTAAGGCTGCCAGAGGAAATGTGGCTAAACTAATCAAGAATATTACTCTCAAGCAAAAGTATTGTTTAATCTGTCTTTTTTTTTTTTTGGCAAAAGTGTCCAGAAAGGACATCCTAATTTTCTTGGGTTGCTTGTTCCAGATACAAAAATGCAGGAGTGTATCACACAAGACCTAGTTAAACTGTGGAGTTTTGCTTCTGCATCTGTGGGGATACCAGTCTCTGCAGGGAAACATTGGAAGAAAGTTTTATCACTATTATGCCCTACTTCCAGGCTTCCCAAGAGCGATCTGGCTTGCCGTAACTGAGAACAATGTTCGGGAGCAGATTTTGTGTGTGTGGATTTACAGGACTGATATGTTCCACTGAGCTTGTATATGAGCATGTCTTACTTGTAATTGGCTTACTGTTGAATTAGCAGTTCTTTATGTACTGTTTATAACTGTCCTGGCCTCCTGCAACTTTTAATTACTATTCCCTGCTCTGTGGATATGGTAAAATAGAAACAGATCTCTTCTCATGTTTGTTCTTAGTCTACAGTTTTCTTATTGTGGTGGATCTCACTTTAAATGGAAATTTTAGCCCATGTCTGTTTTGCACCACACAGCTATAGTGTTATGATTCTACTTTAACTGCCATGTTTCCATCCCTAGGATACCTTGTGGTTTGTAGTTTGCTGAGGTATTAGAGTTTCCTGGTCAAGACATGACATTTTGAACAAGTGTTTGCAAATGCAGAGTAGCTGACATAGAAAAATGGAACAACTAGACAATGAGTCCGGACAACGTTTTTAACAAGAAGACACTATGAATTTATATTTTATTGATTTGTTTAGTTTTTATTATATGTTATGTTTTTAATTGTATTTATGACATTGTAAACATTGAATTTTGTCCTGTTAACCACCTTGAGTCACCTACGGGCTGAAAAAGGCGGTATACCAATACATAATACATAATAAATAAATAAATAAATAAATAAATAAATAAATAAATAAATAAAATGTACTGTATTTAACTTGAGCCTAATCTGTAATTGAATCTAATGCACCCCTCAATTTTCAAAACCCTCAAACAAACAAAAATAAAACAACTATTTCCTGCCAAATGTGTAAGGCCAAAAAAGTATATATTACAGTTGCCATATGCTTAAAATACTTTCTTTAAAAACAAAAGTGTTAGAACACAAAAGCTTTCAGCAATAGAAAAGAAAATATTGGGTGCATCTATGCTGTGGATTGAACTCACTTTAACATTCCTGGCCCAATGCTATGGAGGTATTGGAAGGCAGGGGGTTGGGGGTAGTTTTACAAGGTCTTGAGTTTCTCTGCCAAACAATATTGATGCTTCAGCAGACTACAAATACCAGAATCACATAGCATTGCGCCCCAGCCATTAAATGTCCCTAAAATAGGAACCCTAGGTGCCCCTGAAGCAGCTTCCCCTTTTGCTTTGGCTTAGCACTAAAGTTACTGTATTACACAAATCTAATACACACCCTAGTTTTGATGAGACAATTTAGCAAAAATTAAAAAAGATTAGCATTAGACTCAGGTAAATAGGGTACTATATTTTTATATTTTAATGGTTGTTGTATTATTGTAATTGTTTATTTGTAGTGGCATCAAATTGCTGCCAAAATGTAAGCCGTCCTGAGTTCCCCTTTGGGGGTAGAGAAGAGACAGGATAGAAAAAATAAATAATAATACTATTAGGTGCAGTGAATAAGTACTATCGGCTAACTCTATTCCTTTCTGTATACATCTGTCTGAACTAAGGGTTGTTATTTTATGTATGTTCGTTTTTCATCTTTAATGGGTGCCTACAATTTTTTGTCTTACAGAAATTGAAAACGTTTCAGAAAGAGTGCATCAGATCCAGCAAATTGTTATTACTTTGCCACGAGCGGTCATCATTGTCATGAGATATCTCTTTGCTTTCCTCAACCAGTGAGTACCTTCACTAGCTGGGCACTTTTGTAATGGAAGATTGAAATTCCATTCCTTTTGAGTATTGTTCAGTCCTATTTTAGGATGGCAATAAGGGAGGGATGCCATTTGAACTGTCACTGCCAATAATGGCTTTCTTTGGCACAGCCGTAGGAAATGCCTGTGGAGCTCCCTCTGGGTTAAGAGTTGATGCTTGGTGTGGTAGCTTTGTGTTGCTTGTATTTGCAGCTTGTCGCAGTATAGTGATGAGAACATGATGGATCCCTACAACCTGGCCATCTGCTTTGGACCAACCCTGATGCATATTCCAGATGGGCAGGATCCAGTGTCCTGCCAGGCCCATGTCAATGAAGTCATCAAAACCATCATTATCAATCACGAGGCCATCTTCCCCAGTCTCAGGGAACTTGAAGGACCTGTTTATGAAAAATGCATGACTGGTGGGGAAGAGTACTGGTAAGAAATGTTGGAATGAAACCCTTGCTTTGAGCATCTTAGAAAGGTTAGGGATTTCTCTTTTGTGAGGGAGTCTTGTTTTATAAGTGCTATTGATCTCGATTATGAAATGCTGCAGCAATATTACTTAGATCAAGATGATACTTTTCTATTTTAAGCATCCACCATATTGAAACAGGCTTGAAATGATTCTGAAAGCCATGAAACCAGACAGAGCCCCTTGGCTTTTGGTTACCATGAAGACATAAGAGATCCTCACCAAACTTACACCCAGAGCCTTTTTGGACTGCACTTTCCAGAGTCTCCCAGCCAGCATGACTAGTGGTCACATTGGCTGAGGGATTCTGGAGCTGCAGTCCAAAACCAAACTTTTCTAAAGGAGCCCATGTAGTACCTCACCATCATACTGAATCAGACGTTTCTAGAGCAGTGGTTCTCAAGCTCTCTAGATATTTTGGCCTTCAACTCCCAGAAATCCCAACAGCTGGTAAACTGGCTGGGATTTGTAGGCCAAAACACCTGGGGATTCACAAGTTGAGAACCACTGTTCTAGAAGGACTACAAACTTGTTGGCCATCAATTGATTTTTGGTTGTATGTTGCCTCTGAATATGCAGGTTTCATATTGACATTGTACCCAATAGCCATTGATAGACATACCAATTTCTTCCCATCCTTCTTCCTCCTGATTACTTGCGGTATACTTTCCTAGGGCTCACACTTTTTTGCAAAACAATAACTACCATATACAAATTAAAGCATTAACTAATTAAACAAGATGATTTTATTACTCAGCCAATTGACCTTATTTATTTATTTGCTTTATTTCTATACCGCATTTTTCAGCCCAGACAGGCGACTCAATGCGGATACCTTATCAAAGTACACAGTATAAACACATTGTACAGTATACATCTAAATATAAATATACATATACAGAAAGAAAAAGTGGAGGTGACCAACTGGTAGCCAAATATACCTTAATCCTAAATATGTACATCAGATTAACAATAAAACACTTTTATATATGCTGTTGGGTGTTATTCTTAATGACATTTGCAGTCCAGCTTCCAGAATTTAATATTTGTGATGTATCCAGTGTTTTTTATTTTTTAAAAATTCTTTTTATTGTCCTTGCAAATTATCTGCATTAATTAGAGTCTGCTTTTTATCTAGTTGACAGTTTTAAGTGAAATATCCTCTTATGTCTGCCTGAAGATGACATATCTGAAACTTAAGGCAAGCTGCGGAAGTGACAAATATATAGCAACATAACTTTAGGGGTCAAACTCTTTTGGGCCAGATTCAGTCAAGTACAATACTTGACTGAAAAACTAATCTTAGATCTCATTTTTACTAGAGTAACAGAATAGTTGTTATGTTGCCACAGGGAGTTTTAATTACATAGCACCCAAATATTTTTTAGTACATAAATGTCTTGGATTAATATGTAGGTTAGTTGAAATGTTTGTTTGATGTGACAATAATAGCCTTGGTAATTCTGAAACAGTGTTTTGCAAACCTAGATTCCTCATGTTTACTGAGCAGCAAAGAATTAACTTTTTTTCTCTCTATTTTATAACATGTTATTTGCCCCCATTTAATTCTAGTGACAGTCCCCACAGTGAACCAGGTACCATCGATGAAGCAGACCATGACAACGGGACAGAGCCGCACACCAGTGATGATGGTGAGTGTAGTAATTAGCCATGGAAAACTAAGTCTGAGGAAACCTAGCAAAAATTGTGTGAGACACAGCAAAGAGCATCTTAATTTTTAATCAAATTACTTTGGACTAACATGACTGTTGGCTAAGGAAGATGGCTCTCTGTACTTGACTGTGGAAGCAGATAACTGATTTTTTTTTTCTGTGTCAGGAGCTATTTGAGAAACTCCAAGTTGCTTCTGGTGTGAGAGAATTAGCTGTCTGCAAGGACATTGCCCAAGGGACACACAGATGTTTTACCATCCTGTGGGAGGCTTCTCTCATGTCCCTTATGAGGAGCTGGAGCTGACAGATGAGAGCTCATCCCATTCTCTGGATTTGAACCACTGACCTTTTGGTCAGCAGTCCTGCCGGCACAAGGGTTTAACCCATTGTGCCACCAGGGCATAAGATACTGATGAAGTATCTTGAGAGTTATGTAATCCTAACATACCATATAGGAGCATACCAGGTTGCCTGTTTGCTTGGTAATTTCATCCCAAGGCATTGTGGAAGTTGTCCTTATGCCGAAATTAACAGGCTAGTCATTTGGCATGAAAGTGACGCCTCTGGAGTGTTATTTGTTTCTAGTCTATATTGTTTCAGTGTTCGGGGGGAAAAGAAAGCCTCCTTTTGTTGGATGTCACTAATCTTCTCTCTTTGAAGGGTTAGATCACTTAAACAAGCCAAGGGTCTATTTTTTGCAACAATTATTCACATGTTTCCATTTTCAAGACAAGATTTCTCTTTCTGCCATCACTGGTTTTGTCCATAGTAACACGACGAAGTATCTATGGCTATGACAATTACACTTATGCATCAAGAAGGGCTGAACTAAAAATACTCACATCTACGGGAAGGTTATTTTCAGCAATCTTGAAGAGCAATCCATTTTTAAAATGATTTTTCATTAATTTCTTCCATAGTGTTCATTGTTCATTTACATTGCTTTTTATTTGTTAGCACTGACTTTTGCCCATCATAATGCAATACATAGCAACATAACATCGTTACATGTGCTTATGTGATTCCTGATTGGTTGTGACTAACCTAGTAAACATTATTCTCACATTTAATTGTCTTGATTTGCTGTCGTTGTAATGTTGTAGCATAGTAAAATTGGCTGTGTAGCTCTAGGATATGATCATACTTCATGCTCCCTCTTAGAATGTGTACTCAATGTGACTGTTCTAGAAAGAGAAAGAAATGAGAAAAAGCACTTTCAAAGAAAAAGAAATGCCACTGAGTAGAGTAAGAAAACGGGCAATTATTTCACAGTTGAAGCATTTCTTGAGAAATAATTCTCTATACTGTAGTAGTCATTTTCGGACCATTAATTAAAAATAAAGAACAATCATAAGGAGCCCCATTTGATTTTCTCATTTCAAGTTGTATTTCACACTTGCATGACTACAGAAAGGAAAATGTCTATGTTTGTATTCCACACACACACATACCTACCCACCCATCCTTATTTTTATTTTTATTTTGCAGACTGAACAAGTTTGATTTGGACATCAGTGAGAATTAATAACCTGGAACCACATGGTGCCATTTAAATTGGCTTATTTCGCAGATTAGAAAACATTGTTCCAGAATCCTGTTTGTTGCATGACTATGCATGTCTGTTGTCTGCTTGCTTTGTGGCTTTTTTATTCCTTTCATGTTTTCTCTTCAATGCTGCAAATATATGAAATTCAGTGCCTTATTGATGCATGATGTGGGGGAATTACATAGATGAATCTGATCATTACTTTATAGTAAGGGCAGAAAAGAGCGGGGGGGGGAGGGGCGGGGGCGCGGACACACAAAGGATAATTCAGATAATTAAAGATGGGTGTTTAAAGGAAGAGGGAACATGTCAACCTTCATTTTTCAGTGTTGGTGACAAATGGCCTACCTCATCTGTGAAAAGTCAAGGCAAGAAAGCTTCCATTTAGGCAATTTAATGCCCGAATGGTTATGTTAATAGTTCTGATTGGAGTTTATGGGTGATTAACCATGACACAACTATGGAGAAGAAGAGCAGTTCTGTTTTATGAATTTACAGACCCTCTGCGAGTTGGATACCACTTTTATGCTGGCGAGGAAGTTCGTATTTTCATCCAGACCACGATGGCTTCATGATTACCTAACCAACTATTATATACCACTTAGGGAGTGGCCTTTATTGAGTCTACCCATTACCACCAGATTATGCTTAATTGGATGGGACAAAAAAGGGCTCTCCAGTTATATGGGCTCCAACTTCCATCATTCTGTATGGTGACCACTCTGTCACTTTCCCCAATGTGTAAGGACTCAAACTGGGGAAGGCTGACATGGGGTGGGAGGTGTTCCTCAATACATTGTACCAAAAGCGAAAAACAGAGTGTTTCATTTTGTTCCTTCTACTTCATGGGCAAAAGAACATACACATTTCTATCCTGCATGTGATCATGGTCCATTGGTTACAGTATACTGGTTTGAATGGGGATGATCTAGAACAGTGGTTTTCAATTTGTGGATCCCCAGATGGTTTGGCCTTCAACTCCCAGAAATCCTGACAGCTGGTAAACTGGCTGGGATTTCTGGGAGTTGAAGGCCAAAACACCTGAGGACCCACAGGTTGAGAACCACTGATCTAGAAACTCCTAAGAAACATAATAGTGTGCAAGTTTTTGTTTCCATTTTCACATTCAGATAACTCAGATGTTGAAATTATATTTAAATTGCTATACTCAATAACTAGTAGCTGCTGATAGAGTCTTGTTTTGTGATCCCGTCTATGTGCTCTTTCTCCCTCTCATTTAAAAGACATATTTGGATGAAAACTGAAGTAGCTTTTTTGAGAAAGAGCTGAAGATAATTTGAAACATGGATCTCACAGCTACTATATCCAGCCCATTTTCATCTCATTAGGTGAATTGACTTCACTATAATTTATTCCATTTAATTGGAGACATCAGTGAGTGAGGGCACACACACACACTCAAACATATATATACAGATGGACAGACAGACAGACTCTTCTATACATGAAAAGAAATGCTCTTCAGCTCTTTTTGAAATCACGATCTGTTTCTAGCCCGACTGTCTTTTATCACCACATTGCCTTGCAGATTATTTCATTACTATCCAAGCATTGGGTTCTGTTGGTCATTACATGCTGTTTCAAAACAATACAGATATACTCCAGGAAGTCCCATTGTGTTAATGAAAACATGATACTGCCAAAGTACATTTTCACAATTTGGTTTTGCTTTTGGCTCCTTCTCTCTGAAGTGCTTTTCTGGGAAGCTGCTCTTAACTCTTACGGAGGCACTTTTTAAAAAAAAAGCACTTTAATTGAGTAACTTCTGGAATATTGTCTGATTTCATAGAAACTCAAATGTTCTGATTTCATAAAAACTCAGTTTCATAGAAACTCACATTCTCTGGACATGGCCGTAAAAACAGCCATGTCCAGAGAAAAGTTTGTAGGAATAAAATCAAAGGTATTGCACAAAAGCAAGAAAACCAGAGCCATAGCAATACATGTATGAATGAAGTGAAATATTTGCTTTGTGTAGATGTTAGCTCTACTTGTTTTTAAAAACAAATGTAACCATCACATTTTCTGTGCCTTAAAAATAATATTACTGCTACTTCTAATTCAAGTAAAGAAACCACATTTTGACACATACCTGCCTTATAAAGTGAAGGAAAACACTTATTAGCTTCAATCCAGAATCCCTTTGGTTTAGTGTGAATATCCACATGGAGTCCTATGCTGAGCTGTATTACCTTTCTTTCATTTTAAAGCCCCAAAGCTGCCTCTCAAATTAATTTTGTGCTTCAGAATAAGTAGGCAGAATTGGAGAAAGCCTTGCTGTCCACTCCCCTAACATCCAAAGGGTTCCTTGAAGAGCCTCTATGCTTCTAATGGAGAAGGATGAGCCTCTATGCTTTTGTAACCATAATGCATCTAATGGAGAAGGACGCCCCATACTTTTCAATTTTTTCTGAGGGTCCTTCCACACAGCCATATAACCCAGAATAGCAAGGCAGAATAACCCACAATATCCGCTTTGAACTGGAATATCTGAGTCCACACTGCCATGTATCCCAGTTCAAAGCAGATAATGTGGGATTTTATTCAGCTGCGGAAGGGTGCCGGGGGGTCTTGGAATACCTGCATGGGGCTATTTCAGGGCTTTACAGTAAATCAAGAGAGTTATGTAGAGAGGAAGTGAAGACAAACCCTTGCAGAACCTGAAGAAAACACATCTACCTATTTAAGGGATACTTCTGCATGCAGATATTCCTAACTGAATTCTGGCCATGGTTTTTATGCTAGATCCTGATGTTAATGGTATAGGATCTTTTCCTATCCTAATTTAAAATAGAGAGAAAAGTTCCCCAATGAACGCCCATTCTTTATGCCAATCATCTTACATACAACTGGAACATGTCACTTTGATGCTGTTATGGTTCTTGCAGACATATTCTCCCTACATGATTCTGCCGTTTTCCTATTTGCTGCCTTACTGCAGAGTTAAAAGTGAGGAATGGGGTGGGTTGCGGGTGGGATATGACTTCCTTTGTCAAATTGTGCCAAATTTATTGTTTCCTTGGTTAACATACCTTCTACCAGATTTAGGCTGGAGTAAAAAAAGTGTTCCTCACCATATTTTGTTCAGTATTGAAATGTGGTTTAACCAATGTTCTCACCACACTTGTTTCACTAAACTGAGTTTTATTTGCTGTCCTAAGCTAGGCATATAAATGTCTCTCTGCAGAAGATATGATGTTTTGTATTGCAATGCCACCACACTATACTTTCCTAGTTTACCTATAACATGTGGCCACAATGACATTTGCCACCTATTCATTAATGGCTTCACATGTCTTTAGCATGTACTGCTTGTGCAACAAGTATAGTATGCATGTTTGTTAAGTAGGCTGAGTTGCTCTTCTTTTCTTCTGTCATACCTTGAGTACTTAAGGAATTCTTAAAATTCCTT